TTTTGTTCAGGCATTATTTCTTTCTTTATATTGTGGTATCTTATTTTTTAAGCTTGTCACTCTTGATGATATTTTCAATAATTTCTCATGAAATCACTATATCATTGAAATTCTTTATTGTATTTTTTATCATCTTCTCTAGTAAGATGCCTTCAAGGTACTCATGGATAGCACTGTAGTTTTTTTAGTCAAAAGTGGTTGAATTTGGGTAGTTATGTCCATTCACCTTTGGGCATATTCCTTAAATTACTTATCATTTTTTTTCTTTATGTTATGTAAAAAAAGATGATTTAGAGCTAAGTTTATGATATGCTAGTGTTGATTAATGAACACCTTTATTAATTTTCTTCATGAAATAATATAAAGCCCTATCCAATTGGATATACCATCTAGCAGTGATATCAGTAAGGCTATCTTAGAACACACACATCAAAAGCTTTTCATCACTAGTATAAGCAGCCATCTTTCGATAATACATAGTGACATGAGTCATTGAACATTTAGTATCATCATATTTCTCAAACTTTAGTACTTTGGACTTTAGTGGGATAACTACATCAGGAACCAAACAAAGTCTTATCGCATCTATGGAGCTATAAAAATTAATTTTCTCTATGGTTCATAATCTTTCTTTAAGCATATTCATCTTATGATCAGCTTTTAAGTCCTCTTAAGACTCGATCACCTTCAGCTTCAATTTTTTTCTTTTTCTTAGGATCATCCAAGTTGGAGATTTGGATTAGCTTTATTGCCTTTTCAATAAAGATGGAGTTCACAAAACTTTGATAATGCCCTTAATTTGATGTAGATGGCATTCTTGGGTAAGTATACGTTGTAAAAAATGTAAACTGTTATGACGAAATACCTCGCATAGATTAAGCCTGATATGGGCTATAACCAAGAGTATTAATACTATCCTATGACGAATGATCTTGTGGGCTAGCAAATTCTTATATGGCCTTCCCTTTGTTCAACTTATTTAGAGCTTTTAAAATTTTCTAAACTCTCTCTTAAGTTTTTCTTGGGCTTTCTTTATCTTGTCAAAATGATTGGAGTTTTTTTACTTTATTTATTTGGCTCTGACTCTGGTGTTGTATTGATGGTGAGTTGTTTGAGCAGACTTCTTGGACCTTTTTACCACAATTAAGATATCATGTTACTAGATGTCAAAAATCATCCTAACTTGTTATATACCTCAATGGATAAATGAATGCATGTATTAGATATTTGTTACATTGTAATATATGATGCATGAATGAAGGAAAACATGCATTAATGTTTGCCTCATAACATTGTATAAATGAAGGAATACATGCTTTACCTTATGATGCATGAATGAACAAATGACTACCTAAGTTAACATTATGCATGAATAGATGCATATAATGATTAAAAATTCAATACTGCATGGATAAATGTATGAACGCGTTAATATTTACCATATAACAACATATGAAAAATTGAATAAACTCAAATTCATACAAACAAAACTACAAAGGTTCTTTCATATGTCCTAACTTGGATTACATTCTAACAATGGATAGACATGGCTCTAACCTAAGGTTAGCTTCCTATGTTTTACTACATATGGTTTGGGTTAACTTTAAAGGTTCTAAAATTATTTCTCACATCATTGTCTATCATAAACTAGTAAAGCACTATAATCTTTACCCATCATAAGCTACAAGCGAAAATGATTTAATTTGAGTGGGAGTATTTTAGTAGCCTATACGAAGACATGAAATCTCATGAAAGCATAGGTACTTTACTCCCTTATAAGGGATGGAGTCCGGGTATAGAGCTTATGTTATGCACATGCAAATGAATGATAGAATATTAAAAGCTTAAAAAATAAAATATTAAAAGCTTGAAAAATAAATCAAGAAGAAAAAAATCTTTTTAAGGAAAACATTTGACTTGGATAGTACAAATTTATTTAATGGCTTGGCTTTCAGCTTTCTTCAATGGAGTTGTCAAACTATCATAACATATAGATTATAGAGCTATCACTAGATCTGTCTTTAAAAAGTCATCACTAATCTTTTTTGGTCTATATGCAATTGGTCACCTAACTAAATTTACCCAATTTTAAAGAGAAGTACTAAGCTTGACTTAGGTATCTTTAAAAGCTAGATTTATATCTACGAAATTAGAACTAGGTTCGAAAATATGGTTATGTGTGAGAAAGGTTATAGTACCTCCACATCACTCACACAAAGGATGGTACTAGTTTGATTTCATGTTATCTAAAAGCCTAAAAAACTTATCAAGTAATTTAATATAAAAAATTATCCCTAAATTACTCCAATATGTTGGTAGTAATTCAAAAACATCCCCTCACCTCAAGAGTATTCAAATAAACTATTTTCATGCTTTGAAAAGGCTCTGTTGTTGAATTCATTTAATTTTTGTAAAAAAAACTTTTATTTGTGGTAATTGAAATTTTTGTGAAAATTTTGATATTGAAAATCTTTTTAAAATTCTTCAATATATTGTTAAAATTTAGAAAGAATTTTTTATTTAAAAATTTATATAAAGATTGCTATTACAACGCTCTTAGTGATTCTATCATCGGAGATTCAAAATCTAACTTTGTAAAAAAAAAAATACTCTTTATTTTAAAAAAGTATCCTCCAATATGTTGGTAAGATTTTTTGCTAAAAATTATCCTCTAATATGTTGGTAGAATTTTATAAAAATATTTTTTTTAAAAAAATTAATTTATATTTAAAAATCATAAGATTTTTTTTGATAAAACTTTATTTTGAAAACTAAATTACTTTTCAATATATTGGTAAGGCTTTATTAAAAGCTATTTTTTTTCTTGAAATTTATTTTTTATAAAAAAATAATAAAGTTCTCTAATATGTTGGTAAAATCTCATTTTAAAAATTAAATTGCCTTTCAATATGTTAGTAAGGCCTTTTGTCTTATTAAAACAATTTATTAAAATTTTGAATATTCTAATATGTTGATAAGATTTTTTTTATTTAAATATTTATTTTAAAAAATTTGAACTCTCCAATATGTTGATAATTTTTTTATTGTATTTAAAAAAATGCTCTTTTCTTTGTTTTTCCTTTTTTTTTAAATATTTACAAATAAAAAATATATAAATAATCAAATAAATAAAATAAACAAATAAACAAACAAACAAATAAATAAATAAATAAATAGATAATTATGATAAAATACTAAGATAACTAGAACTTAAAAAAAAGATAACTAAAAAGTAAATACAAAAAATCGGGCTACAAACAAATGTCAATCATCTTTTATTTTCCCTACTTTTTCATCCCTTTATCTTATTTCTTGTTTCTCTACAAAGCTGCCTATGGCTTCGCTAGTGCCTTTCACATATGGTGATTGCCTTTCTTTCAAGTTTAAATAAAAATCAAATAAAAACCTAAAATATATATTTGAAACTTTTGAAAATTTTGCTGTCAAAACTTTTTATTGAATGTCTCTCTTTTATGTTTTTTCTCAACTCCTTTCCGTAACATAGAACTTTCAAGAAAAAATCTTAATTATCTAAACTCAAAACACTAGAAAAGACTACAAAAAAACTCTTAATTTTTTTGATTCTTTCTTTCTTGATTTTTTTTATTGATTCTTAATTGTTTCTAATTGATTCTAACGTGATTTTTTTTATAGGCCTCTAATCTCAATTACAATAAAAAAAAATGAGTTTTCTTAATTTGAATTTCTTACTCAACTTCAACTTTGAATTTTTAATCTAAATTCACCTCTCAAACCGAGTCCCTTTTATAGTCTATTTTCAATTAACACACTTTCAATTCAACAACCTAATTAAAATTAAACCCTCTTCAAATTTTAGCAAAATAATTTTTTTCTTTTTTTTTTATAATAATAATAACTCTAAACTAAATACAATATAAAAATAAATAAAAAAAATTCAAAACATGATTTTAAAATATAAATTAACTCAAGACTAAATGGGGTATCTACAAAATTATTAACAATAAATTAGATAATTTCTCTACTAACTCATAGGTATCATGATTTGATTACATTTAACATGTTTATCATCTAAATCTTGAGATAAGATTAGCTTTGATCATAATGAAATATACTTGTCTTCATAAAGAAGATCCATAATCTATTTCTTTTTAAAATTGCAATTTTATCCATCATCTAATAATGCAATAAACATGTTAATTATATGATCTAATGTTGGAAAGTGTAAAGGGGCAGTCGGTTGCGCTGACTGGTAGAAGTTTACCTCCTAAAATTCCACATCGATGCTGTCCTAAGACTAGTAGGTAGCTCAGGCGTTAAGTGTTAACAAACTTTTATGGACCATTGAAATTGTGTGGTCTCCACCAATTATACTTTCTAATTGGGTGAAAGATCAACAACAAAATTATCAAAGAATCAAGATCAGCATCTATATATATATATATATATATAATTAACTCTTATATAAAATCTTCTTGTTTAAAAATTGCATGAGATCAGAAAATAAAGAATAAAAGAAAAGATTATAAGTGTTAAAATTTAAATTTTAAATTTATCAGATATTATTTTTTAAAATTAATTACATAAATCTAAGTTTCAAGTTAAAAACAATTACTTAAATTTTAATTATTTCAAGTCTAATCAATAATAATAATTAGGTTAAAGCTAAAAACTTGATTAAATCTTATTACCTATAATTGTTCATTTAAACCATTTTTATTTCTAGTCTACTAATTACAAATGGTCTGATTACCATAATGTTTAATAAAAGGTTGTCACTAGCAATTATCAAATATTAAATATAGCATATGAGATTTTGTTTACTTATTGGGCCATTTGGTTAAAGATAAAAGTCCATGGCCTTTTACAAACCCGTGACGATAAAACATGGGCTGTGATCTACCAACTTACATCATCCAACGGCAGCTAGACAGTTTAATTTCAATACGAACTCAAAATTTTAAGTTTATCTGCAGTCTTTCCCAAACTGGGTTTTCTTTTTTAGTTGGAGTTTGTTTTTTTTTTTTAGGCCAATTTCTAATCTGCTGTCACTTTCCTTAGAAGAAAAAAAAAAAAAAAAAGGAAGAGGAAGCCTTGCTAGCAAGCGGGAAAAACAGAGGAAAAGAGAACCTTTACCAGCAAAAACAGGAACAAAAAGTAACATTGTGATACAACAAGCGGAGTCGGTTAAAGATTTGAGTTTTTGTTGTTCTTGGGGGGGTTTTTGTTTGATGACAATGGTCGTAGGTTTATGCCGCTCCTTGCGCGATCGAGCTCTCGACCGATGCTTCCAATGCTTCCCTTGTCTCGCCGATCCGGGTACTTTTTTTTTTCTCGTTCCCCACCAAAGGAAATGCATTTTACTATGTTTTGTTTTCCAAATTTAGTTGAATTGCAGATAATTAGTTAATTACTTGCCATTTTGTCCCTTTTTGTTAGTAACCATGGTGGGTGGGTTAAATTTCCTCATTTGCTTTGGTTTTTTGTTTTTTCTTATAATTAATTTGGAGTTTCTGATGCTGGTTGGGTTCTTAGCTCGGAGATCATCGTTGGGTTTGAAAATGGCACTAGTGATGCTGCATCTAATATACGCTGGCATTCTCTTCCTTTTCGATGGTGATTTGATTGATAAAACAAAAAAAGAACCATGGTATGTATGAGACCCCATTCAATGCAATCTTTTTTTTCTCAATGCAAATTTAAAGTTGGATTCTTTTGTTCAATATTTCCATGTAATGTTTGGTTTAATCTCAAGTTAATGCTTGTATTGTATAATAACGTATAAATGTACGAAGCAAGTGAACACATCTTGCTCTTAGCAGATGTTTTGATATTCCTCTATTCCTACTTGCCAAGGTCTCTTGGTTTAGTATTTTCTCTTGAAGGTTTTAGTGTGTAATTGGCACATAACTGCGCACCTTCAATTTTATTTCTTTCCCCATTTTCTCAGGTATACTGCTTTATATTTGTTGTTGTTTTTCGCCACATTGGTGCAATACTTTGTTACTTCTGGTTCTTCTCCCGGGTAAACATCATTGTGCTTTTACTCTCAAGATTAAAGTTTTGAACTGTATAATTTATATAGTACATTTTCACTCTAACTTTTTTGTTTGCTTTGTTGTTTTTCAACTTTTAGTTATGTCCTTGATGCAATGAGGGCTGTTAATGAGACAAATGTGATATACAAGAAGTCATCAATGGCCTCAAAGTAAGAAATTTTCTTTTCTTTTTTTTTTTTTTTCAATCCTTCTCCATTCTTTGTCTCTTCTATCTTTTAGAAGTTAGAACTAAATTATTCTGGATGTAATAATCTAACAGAAATAGAAGTGGATTTATACTTGTTGGAATCTTACCATTTATCATGTTCTTAAATGTTTAAGCAAAGACAGCCTGCTTCAAGCAAAAATGGAAGCTTGATTGTTACTGTAGAAGAGAGTCAATCAGGTAGAAATTTTCGAGGGACTATTTCTGCATCTTGGACAAAGTTAGTGATGGACATGTATCCCCCTGGAACACCTGTTAGGTTTGTAAAACTTCATTGACTTTGCGAATAATCTCTTTCAATTATCTTTTCAAAGAATTTATGTTTAAGGATCAGCATGGGTGCTGACTATGTTAAGCAATCATGGTACTTGCTGTCGAAAATTGCTTACAAGACCTATTTCATAAGGTTTCCAGTCTTCTAGATTTTATGTCCAAAGTAGAAATCAGAAGCAGTTTCTTTTTATATGACATATGATCTTGTTTGCTGTCTCAGAGGTTTTCCTATATTGATTAATTCCAGAAATGGAGGAACCTAGGTGGATGAAGATATACGCCTTGGATATATTTATATAGAGACATATATTTTTGCATACTTATTTGCATGTATATAGATACATACATGCATATCTTTGAAAAAAGGGAAGGAGGGGGGAGGGCTTCGGTGTGTCTCGCTTGTTGCCCTTGCCTTTTACTTCCTTGCCCATGTTGCTTTTATTATTCCAACATAAGTGTTGATTTATTTTTATAATCTCTTTGCTTAGCTAGTTTTAATTTTATATTGCTAAGCATGTGTATTAAAAAAATGACAAATGAATCTTGGTGTTTCATTTGGTTTAATGCCACCAGCTTGAGTTTAATCTGGTTTCTGTCATGCAAACCATCATGAAAAGTAGAAGGAAGTTATTGGAAGTTTGTTGAAACTTACAAAACTACTTTCTTTTGGATTTTGCAGGACTTGCACTTGCTCCTATTGTAATGTTGAACAGGTATTGGGATCTCTTGTTTATGACCTTCATGTGATGCAAGTTACTTTTCGTGAATCAAGATCTCCTTGTGACCTCGGTTTATGCTGTGTTACTCACCTGGATGGTGGACGTTTATTCTTGGCTTTGTATAATGTATAACATTAAAAAAAACATGCATATACGAATTTTAGTGGTTTGGTCAGTGAGCATGGAGATCCATGTACTCATGAAACATAATAACTATCTTTGGATGTCCATTGCCTAAACTGTGTAAAGAATCAGTTCTGATTATCCGGCTATCTTTTTTTATGTTACTTTTACGTGCTCTTAGTACCTTACATGGTATGTGGTTGTTATATTTTTTCTGGTACAATTGCAGCCTCCACGAGCAAAGCATTGTCATGATTGTGATAAATGTGTTCTTCAGTTTGATCATCATTGTGTATGGCTTGGAACATGCGTTGGCCAGGGTAATCATTGCAAATTTTGGTGAGTCTACATCATTTTTGACATGTTCTTTATGACTATACCTATAGTTTGTGCCCTTATATAAGTTCTTAAGTTATAATGTTGCTATAATCTATGAGAAGGGTATTGAAACTGTAAAAAAACTCATCATAAACTGATTAAACATATGGACAGGATTTTTTTTCCTTTTCCTTTTTCTTTATTGTCTGAATTGGTTAAACTATTTACATACCACATCCAACTTCAGTTAATTCCAGCAATGATATACTATCTGATTCTGCATGCATGCTAATGTTCTTTTGCCTACATTAATAATTTCATAAGTTCCAAAGATATTTCCCTAATCTGAAACCGATTTGTTTTCTCTTATCTCAATTTGTAAATTTAGGTGGTACATTTGTGAAGAGACAGCATTGTGCCTCTGGACTGGCATCTTGTACATTACATACCTGAAGGCCAACATATCAAGGGCTTGGTATGTTATATTATCACAGTACCTTTTCTTTGTAACACGTGTTATTGTCATGATTTTCTTGTGTGAGACTATGGGTGGCTAAATATCTATTGTTTGAGTTTTCCTTTCATTTGGAGCCTGTGTATTAACCTACTCCATTTTTTTCCGGTTGAGAAAGAGCTTGTGTATTTATCTGCATCTGAAATTTGACCTGGAAAAATATTGTTGACAGGTGGAAGGATACTGTTATGATTCTGCTATTGATCCCCTTGTCAATTTCCATAATTTTTCTACTTCTTCTTCTACTTTTTCATAGGTAACTTCAGTCAGTTTAACTTGATTTCAGTGCCGAACTTCAGATTTTGATGATTATTTTTCATGTTATGTACTACGAGCACTGTTCTAATATGGGAACCTTTATTTCTAATGCAGCTATCTTGTTCTGACAAATCAGACTACTTATGAACTAGTTAGACGCAGACGTATCCCATATCTAAGGTTAGTGGCTGCTTTTATTCTCTTCATACTGTTTTTGCATCATGCAAATTATGCATTAGATTCATGTTGAACGTACAATGCTGTGTCATTATGTATGTCAATGGATTTATTAAGTACAGATGAAAAGACTATCATGATTTGATTTTGCTAGAACACATTTCATTTTTGTGATATGCAGGGGGATTCCTGAAAGAGTATATCCATTTAGTAAAGGAGTTTGCAGCAATCTATATGACTTCTGTTGTGTTCGAAGCAGCAAATACAGTTTGGAATCTTTGCCCTCAGCTCAACAACTTGAAGAAAAGTCAAGGCCCTACACTTGCTTAGATGTTTTAACCTGTCGTTGCTGCTGATATAATAGGGCAATGTATCATTTAATGTAAAACCATTCTTTACTCGAAATGTTTTGATGTGGGGTTGTGTAGTAAGCAGTGATGTGCAGCCAATTGTTGTAGCTGCTCGATATGGTTCGCTGAAGGTCAAGTTGCTTATCAGGTTTAGATAATGTACTGGTTATGAACCGTGATTCCTTTGTTTTGATGTGTCAAAGAATTTGGAAATTTTATTAACCAGATTTAAATTGTCTCCTGTATGCACGGGCTCAGTATAATTGAAGATTCTAGTAATCAATCCCAACCATCTTTATGTATCCTAAAGCGTCAAGCATAATACAACTGCAATTCGAATCTGACCGTCTTATCGCATTCTTATCTGTTGTTCCGATGTTGAATTAAGCTTGGAGCATTAGGTTGGTACATTTCTGTCGCGGTGAGGGAGAAGTACGTCACAAAGTTAGGTACATATGACAGGAATCCCAGCTGCAACTAATGCAAAGCTAAATCCCATACCCAAGATCCCTAGGCCCCAGTTGAGCCACCACATTCCACCATACTTTTTTGGTTTCTTAATCTTTGCCCACATAAAGCAGGGATATGCCAATGTGACAGGCAGAGCTATGCCTCCAGCCACACCAGATACACTTGCAGAGAATGGGACTGCGACTACTATGAAGAAAGAGAAAAATCCGAATACAATCCGGAACAATGCCCGGAGCCAACACGGACATCGCTTTTTCTTTGTGCCAGTATATAGAAGCTCCATGTCATCAAAACTTGGCATTCCATAGATTTGGAATGAGCATAACGAGTTGATTACTATGAATAAGCTTGTAAGTCCGAGCACAAATGGCGATACATTACGTGAATGGAATTGGTAAAAAGCCGTCAGCATTCCATTATTTGCGGGTATCTGTAAAAATAATAAAATCATTTGATGTAGTTAAAAATTCTAACCTCCTCCTGACGGGGAATAAACACATTCTCTGGAAACAATATAGGCTTACCTTGTGACCATAAGCCCAATACCCACCAATTGCAAGGGGAAATAGGCACATAGCTATTATGGTATATGCAACCTTCACCCCTTGCCACATTGGCACCTGTGATGGACGCTTCTCGCTGGAAGGCACGGTTCCCTGCATCAAACGACATTTATATAGAGGTATTAAATGATGAAATGATTTTTCCGTTTACATTTTTATTGTATTGTTACAATTTTATAGATTGTTTTTAAGAGGAGAGAGATGGAGCTTCCATTGACCTTGGGCACATATGAATGTCAGTTTTGAATTAGCTGCCCCTATTGTCTCCAATAAATGTCAACATTTCGTATTACTATGAAATACACCTACTTACTGTTTGGAGTGGCAGGCTACTTTGGACACGAAATGAAACATAGTTAATTTGCCTTTAGGCTCGGGCCAATACTATCAACCAAATATGAACTTACCCTAAAATCCCGCACGCTCAAAATCTTTTCCTGATGCAATTAACCTCGTGCTATATTGCCATCTACTTAGTAGTTTATTATAGTATAGGGTTTTTAAAGTGGCTAGGGATAAGGGATGAGCAATACATAAATCTTAAGGCCTATAAATTCATGGTACTTTTTTGTTTGTATCTTCTGCTCCTTGTCTTTTCTAGTTACCTGAATCTCTAAGATAAGATTGTGACCTCTAAAAGCAAACGCAACAGTCCCCAGCGCATTGAGTACACCACCGATCCTTCGGATCTCCGTGTTTCCGCCTAACGTATTATATGAAGCCTCCGGCAGCCTGCCTGCCGCCACAGACACCACCCAAATTAACGTACAATACCCGATACCAGTGATGGCCCCTACCAACGATACAACTGCCATTGAATTCAGATTAGGCAGCAGTGACAGCAGTACAGCTGCACACGTAAACACCAAGCACCATTCCACTGTTGTCAAGGGCTTCAGGGTACATGTGGTCTTGCAAACTATCTGGTAGAAGATTTTTAATGTTGATCCACCAATCATGATCAGGGCACCGCATGTTCCACTTGAAAGATATCCAATCGGAAACAAGGCTAGGACCTTTCCTAGTCTGTCACCTGGATCATGAAAATATGGTATTCCGCCACCATTAGACAACAAAAATATAGTATTATTTTTCTCATATGTAAAAGACATATAAATACCAAAGGCAGCGTCTGCTAGTTGGACGTATCTGCTGTAACGTTTCCCATTTTCTGATGATTCATGAAGTTGGACAAGTATCCATAAGGTGTAAAATTGCCAGATGAACGCTAGAGTCAAGCTGATTAATCCCCAAGCCCTGCAAGGAATTTATGAGTACAGAAAAATACCCAAATGGAGCACAGGAGAAAAAAAAATCATAGATATGGTTCGAAGCTAACAAAGTATTCCTGTTATGCTGTTAATATATGTACCAGCCAAGGTAAGTGAAGGCAACTGGAAGAATAAGGGCTTGAATTCCAATGCCTGAACACAGAGTATGAAAAGCAGCATAGTATTTGTTGCCATTTCTTGACTCAGTGATGGGGAGCCAACTATCCTCGGGATCAAGTTTGGTGAGGCGAAGAACCTTTTTCAAAGGGTTACCAAAAGGAGCAATAAGCTTTGGAGCTGGCATCGCAGGGATTTTACAGAATCTGCTCTTGGGTGGCTCTACATGGTCTGGACTAGGAAGTGGTGATCCAGAAAAAAATGGTGAATGAAGTCGAGAAGGCGGATAAGAGACAGGCAGTTGTGGCTCTACAGTCGCTGGCCTTGGAGTCCATGGAACCGAGCTATTGTTGTCATTGGCTTCACTCATTGTTGTTCTAATAACACTTCCACCTTGCACTCACCTTCAATGAATTGGAAGCAACTTACGTGTATTTGGGGCTTATATAGTGTTGGTTTTGCAAAGATCCAAAGAGTCCAAAAGAAATTTAAAAGTCAATTATTCTGTGTACTCAAGAAAATCTGTATTACGATCAGGCGTATCCAAAGAGTCCATATGTCAGTTTTGGACCTTGTAGCATTTATATAGCCAAGCAATCGGTCTACATCATGATAGTTGATTGAACCTTGAACAAGAAAAAAAAATTCTACTACTGTGGTTCCTTTGAAAAAAGAAAAGCCCAAATTTAAGAAAAAAAATATTGCTTAATATAAACTATAGAAATGATTCCCATCCTAATTATTATTATTATGTTGCTAGTACGAAATTGTTAAATACTAAGTATGTACTTCTGACTATTAATAAGGTTAATTAACTACACAGTGCCATCCTCCATTAACTGAAAAAAATGAAAATGAACAAATAATGTTGAGACTACATACAATATAATAATACATATTAAGAGCTCTCATATGATTATATCCTCTGTTTCCAAGTTTCTTTCACAAAAACAGTACATACATACCGTATCAAGTACATACAATATCAAGTAAACATAAAATCGGAATCCCAACAAAACCGGTTACAAGCATCTGATTTCAAGGTAGTGAGTTACGATACTTGACAGCTTCAAACCGAGCTGCAAGATCATCATAATTGGCAATTTGGGGTGAACATGATGAATAGAATCCTGTTTATTAGATGAAGGTACTGGTGGTGGAGATCGTTCAGGTGGAAGATTAATGCTTCCACCAGCATCTTCAATTTCTATTTCTTCGTCACAATCTGATTCATCAAACTTTATATGTGAATGTGCAGAAGGGGCATTGTAGCAATGTCTCCTAGAGGTCTTTCCACCTTTAACACTTTTAGGTCTTGCTTCCTGAAGGATTTAGAGCAGAGGAAGAACAAACAAAGACAGCAGAAACTAATCTGTCACTTGAAGTAAATTGGCTCATTTGATCATGAGCTTCATTTCATTAATTTATAGGCTTGAAAAATACAAAAGTTGTTGGCCTAACAGCATGGGTCACCATGCACAGACCCATCATTTTACCTAAACTAATCTGCTGCCAGAAAGTTTTAGCAGAAATGCCATACTAACTTGCTTCAACCACTAACACACTAACATGCTTCAGTACTAGCATGCTTCAACCACTAACACTCCTCCTTGGTATTTCTGCTGAAAACACCAAGACTTTTCCTTAATGTTTCAAACCTTGCCTTTGGTAAGGCTTTGGTCAGAATATCTGCAATCTGATCTTCTGACTTGCAATGCACCAGTTTCACTTCATTCTCAGCTTCAACTTCTCTAATAAGGTGATACTTGATCTTAATATGCTTAGTTCTTTCATGAAACACAGGGTTCTTGACCATTGCAACTGCTGACTGATTATCACAAAAAATTTATGTTGGATCATCTTGCTTTTGACTCAAATCCAATAGAATTTTCCTTAGTCAAATTGCTTGATTAACAGTAACTGCAGCAGCTATATACTCTGCTTCTACTGTTGATTGAGCCACTGTTCCTTGTTTCTTTGAATTCCAGCTGAACACATTTAATCCAATGAAAAACACATAGCCTGAAGTGCTTTTCATGTCTTCATGAGAGCCAGCCCAGTCACTGTCTGTGAATCTTATCAATCTTGAACTGTCATTCTTCTTGAACCAAATTCCAAGTTCATTGGTTCCTTTGACATATCTCAACACTCTTTTTGCAGCCTTAAAATGCAACTCACTAGGATTTTGCATGAACCTAGAGAGTAAATTTGCAGCATACATGATGTCTGGCCTTGTTGCTGTCAAATACAATAAGCAACCAACCAAGCTTCTATAAATAGAGCCATCAACTTTGTTAGCTCCATCTTCCTTAACAAGTTTCTCATTTTGAGCCAAAGGAGTGTTGACTGGTTTGTAATTTTCCATCCCAAACTTATTCAGGATTTCATTTGCATATTTTCTTTGACAAATGAAGATTCCTTGCTGGTCTTGATGAATCTCCATTCCAAGAAAATAAGACATTTCTCCCATGTCTGTCATCTCAAAAATTTCTTGCATTTGGAGCTTAAAATCTTCCACAAGAGCTGATTTGCTACCTGTCACCAGAAGATCATCAACATACAAAGAAACAATCAACAGATCATTACTGTTAAAAACTTTAATGTACAATGTTGCTTCACTGAGACTTTTCTTGAATCCTAACTTCAGTAAATGATCATCAATTCTGGAATTCCACACTCTGGGAGCTTGTTTTAATCCATACAAAGCCTTCTTGAGTAGATAGACTTTGCCTTCATGTCCCTTGGCAATAAAACCATCAGGTTGTTCAATGTAGATCTCCACCTCAAGATAACCATTCAAGAAGGCAGATTTGACATCAAGTTGGTATATTTTCCAACTTTGTTGAGTTGCTAAGGCTAATAACAGCCTTATAGTGTCCAACCTTGCAACTAGAGCAAATGTCTCTGAAAAATCAACACCAAGCTGTTGAGAGTAGCCTTTAGCTACCAATCTAGCTTTAAGTTTGTTGATGGAACCATCAGCATTCAACTTTGTTCTGAAAATCCATTTGACACCAATGATGTTTTTGTTACTTGGTCTGTCAACCAACATCCATGTTTGATTTTTCTCAATCATTTGAATCTCCTTATTCATGGCATTTCTCCATTCTGAAAATTTGACAGCTTCTTCAAAGCTTGCAGGTTCAAGAATGGCAACATTTGATCTTTGATAAATATCTGTGAGTGGTCTGATTCCTCTCACTGGTTCATGATCAATGATTTCATTTTCAAACATATAATCTTCTTGATCTTGGAAGCTTATCATGTTTGCAGCAATTTGCTTGACTGATTCTCCCTTTGATTTTTTCCAATTTCAGGCAGCTTGCTTATTAAATCTCACATTCTTACTTACAATCATCTTGCCTGTAAGTGGATTGTAAGTCTTATAGCCTTTGGTGATGTTGCTATAGCCCAGAAAAATACATATTTCTGCTTTTTGATCAAGCTTGTCCCTTTTGATATCAAGAACGAACACATAACAGATGCTGCCAACAATTCTGAGGTGGTGCACTGATGGTTTGCTTCCATTCCAGGCTTCAAAATGAGTGTTTCCCTTCAAAGCTTTTGTGGGCAGCCTGTTGAGCAAGTAGACAGAGGTATTGACTGCCTCTGCCCAGAATTTCTTTGGAAGATTCTTCTCAAATAGCATGCATCTTGCCATCTCCATGATTGTTCTATTCTTCCTTTCACTGACTCCATTTTGTTGTGGAGTGTAAGTTGCTGTCAGTTGGTGTTCAATTCCTGTAACTTCACAAAACTTATTAAATCTGTCAGATGTGTATTCAGTACCATTGTCTGACCTTATGATCTTGATTTTGCAGCCACTTTGATTCTCAATCCAAGCCTTGAACTTCCAAAATACATTTGCAACTTCAGACTTTTGTTTCATGAAGTAAATCCAACACATTCTAGTAAAGTCATCTATAAAAGCAATGAAATATCTACTGCTATTCAAGGATAAGGTTCTCATAGGACCACAAACATCAGTATGAACAAGTTGTAATCTTTCAGTTGCCCTCCATGCTTTGTTAATTGCAAATGGCAACTTACTTTGTTTTCCTAGTTGACAGACTTCACACACTCCAGCACTGACTTCAACAGTAGGCATGTTTAATACAAGATCATTTTTATGCATGAAATTCAATGCATTGTAGTTGAAATGTCCCATCCTTTTATGCCATAAAGAAGATTCATCATGTGAAGTAACATATGCAGAGGAGTTTGCTTCATGCCAATTCAAGGAAAAATATTTTCCTTTCATATTAACAGTAAAGAGTTCATGGCCAATGGGATCATGAATTATGCATGCCTTGTCTTTGAAGACTAAAGAGTAGTTATTTTCTAGCAACTGTCCTACACTTAACAGGTTTTGATATATTTTGGGTACAAATAACACATCTGAAATGAGTTTAGTACCTGTTGGTGTCTCAACTGCCACTACTCATTTTCCTTTGACTTCTATGAAATCACCATTACCTATTCTGACTTTAGAGGTGCAGGTCTTGTCTAGTTCTTTGAATATGTTGATATCAGATGCCATATGGTGTGTGCAGCCACTGTCAATGAGCCATGCACTGGAAGAGGTTCTGGTTCCATAGCAAGTTGTAACAAAAACTTGCTCTTTTAGCTGTTGTTGATTGTCAGCAACTCTGACTTGTTGATCTGGCTGCTGTTGTTTTTTTCTTTTACATACCTTCTCCATGTGACCAAGCTGCTTACAGTACCTACATTGTATGTTAGGTCTGTACCAGCAATATTTCTCCAAGTTAGTAGTCTTTTTGCAGTGAGAGCATGGTGAAAATTTTCTTTTCTTTTCACTGTTTTAGAACCTCGGTTTCTTTGGTCTCCTTGTTTTCTGCCTTTGCTTTCTGTTTGCATCTTGCCTTTCCCCTTGGCTGTAAAAGCACCTTCTGTTGAATTCTCTTGTCTGATAGCCCTTCTTTGCTCTTGAGCTTGTAGAGCATTGAACAATTCTGCTGGAGTTATCTTGATCAGGTCCTGAGAGTCTTCAAGGGATGAGATTTTTGACTCAAACCTCTCTGGTAAGCTGACAAGAACCTTCTCTACAATTCTTTTGTCTGACAGCTCCTCACCAAGTAATCTAATCTTGTTTATTATCTTCATGAGTCTGTCATTGTACTCATTTAAATTTTCAGACTCCTTCATCTTTAAGACTTCAAACTCTCTTCTAAGATTCAACACTTGCATTTGTCTTGTCTTGTCACTGCCTTGAAACTCTTCCTTGAGCACATCCCAAGCTTGTTTTGCAGTTTCACAAGTCATGATTCTAATGAATATGTCATCAGAAACTGAAGACTCAATACAGCTTTTAGCCTTATACCTCTTTGCCTTTTCTTCACTAAAATTTTTCATTTGAGTTACTGTTGGATTTACAGGAAGTTGTGGTGGTTCTTTCTCATTTTCCACCACTTCCCACAAATCAAAAGCACTCAAATAAGTCTTCATTTTGACAGCCCAAATCTGGTAGTTCTCACAAGAAAAAATAGGAGGTGGAGGTCAGGAGCAATTGCTTGAGGCCATTTAAGGTTGACAAAAGCTGGCTGGAAAGTGTTTGATGGCTTTTCACTCAATTTTTGGAACTCACAGATCCTCTAAGAACTTAAAGAATGCTCTGATACCAATTGAAGGATTTAGAGCAGAGGAAGAACAAACAAAGACAGCAGAAACTAATCTGTCACTTGAAGTAAATTGGCTCATTTGATCATGAGCTTCATTTCATTAATTTATAGGCTTGAAAAATACAAAAGTTGTTGGCCTAACAGCATGGGTCACCATGCACAGACCCATCATTTTACCTAAACTAATCTGCTGCCAGAAAGTTTCAGCAGAAATGCCATACTAACTTGCTTCAACCACTAACACACTAACATGCTTCAGTACTAGCATGCTTCAACCACTAACACTTCCTCACTACTTGGATGGTAAGACCTTTCAAAAGTCTGAGATTCATATATTCTTCCAGGGACTTTATATTGATGATCCATGTGTGGAGAATTGACTGGAGGATAAGTTGGAACAAATTTACCGGCAAAATTGCCAGAAAGGTTTCCCAGTCCCGTAATGATGCTTGAATCATTTAAAATTTTAACAAAACCAGCTGCTTTATTCAATCAATTACTGTGGGGTTGGCCAAATATGTAGCAGCTTGTACTGCAGCAATTGCTTTTTTTGCAGATTCTTCGGCTACTTGGGCAGCTGAGACTGTGTCTTTAAAATGCACAGGGCCTTCTCCTCTGCCCTTTCTTTTATGATGGTAAAGAATCAGAAAAAGTTAGCAGCTATTAATGGGGAAATATTTTTTTGTAAACTGTCGAAGATCAGATGTAATTTGGCAAGTTACCTTGTCAATGGCTCTTTGGCTCAAGAGAATGAGGTGTTGCAGGTTTCATTGGTAAGCTGGTGGCACTAACAGGAGTACGCGGTCCCTCCTATTCAATTAGAGAAGTATAATAAAACTTTAGATAAAAAATGAACTTAAAATTTCACCTGTGGTGTGTATGAGCGAGTGAATGTCTGAATAAGAGGGAGCGATAGAAGGATTTTTTTTTTGGGGGGGGGGGGGGGTGGAAGGGGGAAGGAACAAACTATAAGCTCTTCTGGAGGCTTGAGCAGCTCCTTTTGTGATTCAGTTGTATCCCATTCTACGTCATGTTCCTTGGCTATTTCCTTCATTACTTTCAACTTCACTTCACCGGTAGGAGTTTTTACAGAAAGCTTGTCAATTAGCTGTAGAGACACGGAAGGCACTGTCAGTCTTCTCAAAGATGTAGATAAGATAAGGAAGCACCTCTTCAAAGTGCTTAGCAAACAGAACTTTTTACTCTATATCAATAAAAACTAAGCTACTAAAATATGATCAGCAAGCACCTCTTCAAAGTGCTTAGCAAACAGAATTTTTAACTTAATATCATTAAAAAAAGCTACTATATAAAAAGAAAGAAATAGAAAACAAATAAATTGGGACATAAATAATGTAAAGATAGAAAAAGAAAAAAAGGAAACACAGAAGTGAAAAACCTTCAGGCATTTATAATGTCACTATGGTATCAGTTTAGGTTTCCAGGGGAACCGAAACGGAAATGGTTGGAATTTAGCAGAGAAAAGAGATAAACTTATGAGCCTGCTGGATTTGGTTGCAGAGAAAATGTAAGAAAGGGGCGTTGAGGGGTGTGTTTGTTACCATTTGGAGGCGTTGACGCCGTTGCGGAAGAGAGAGAGAGTAAGCTTCATGAGCTTCTTGGAATGAGCAGTGGCGGCACTCGCCACGGTCATGGCTTGCACCCTTCGCCGTCGCCCTTGTCCGGTTGTCCCTGCCGTTGCAGAAGAGACAGTAATGAAGGAAGAAACAAGGAGTGTTTAGAAGGGCTCTATGTGTTTACGAAGCAATAAAGAAACGAAACATTGGGTTACTTTGAGCTTTGCTGAATCTTTTGTTGTGCTTGTTAGGTCCCACTCTCCCCGCCACCTACTTGGTCTGGTTTGCGAGCGCCGCGGGGGACAAACAAAGTAGCCGTTATGTGAATTGACACGTTGGAATAAACTAGTGGGTAAAGGGCCTTTATTAATCAGAATCCGATGCACGTTATGTTTCTTAGATTTTGGCTAAAACTTGGAGAGAAAGAAACCCATTTCCGTACCCGTATTTATCTGATTGGGCCAATGATACGCAATCTTTGGACCCAAAAACTCAATGTTGAATAATAAAAAAATATATATATATATATATATATCGAGGATTTTGATAGAATACTATATTTCTTTTTTTCTTAAATCATAAATAAAAAGTATTTTTACATAAATTTAATATTTTATTCTCAAAGATTATTACCTCATTCCTACTTTATTATATTTGGCAATCTAAATATGTGCTTTCAACAACAGCAAAGTTAAAATTATTATTATTATTATTTAAAATTAAGATTTATATTTAAAACATTATCAATGCATAACTATTATACATTATCAACACATCATAAATTATTATCTAATTAATTTATTTTAGCATAAATAAATGTTTAAAATTTAAGAATATTTATTTTTAAAAATTCTAAAATTTTAAATTTGTTGATAAATAATGTGGTAATTTGTAGTATACTGAAAGCGTATCATTAAAATTAAGTCAACTAATAAATCTTTATGTTGCAATTATACATGAAGTAAAGTTTCTTCAAAATAAAATTGGTTAAATAATTTCTCGAGAGTGAAAACTAACAGGTGATATACTTCCTAAATCACGATAAAATGCGTTAATTGGTGAACATTAAACAGGCTTACCCCTGAATTATTTTCCTAACACCAGAAGGATTTACATGGTCAAATAATACATTACTTGGTGAACACTGAACAGGTTTACCCAATACCCATGACTTTTTTTCCTAAAAGGAGAAGGATTTGCATGGTCTCTATATATAGAAACCTTTCTCAGGTTCTACCATCCTTATTTCTTTTCAACAAACTCCATTGAGACTTAAGAGTTGAGGTTGGCGAGAGAGTTTCGTTTTCTTTTTGGTGACGGAATTAGGGTTTACGCTTTTGAACCCAAAACAGAGAAGTTTGTTTCCTTGGTGCTTGCTTACTCAAGAATGGATTACAAGCCCTTCGATGCTTTGTCCCCTCCGGCCAAAGCCAGGCCAAAAGAAAAAGACCCAGTTTGCGAAGAGAGCTATGTTTCATTGGAATTGTCTCTCTCACTTGATTATACGTCCACTGCAATTGCAACTGACAAGGGAAAAGAAGAAATTTTTGAAGCTGGGAAGAATAATTATGGCAGTATTGATCAATATCTAAGAAAAGAAGATAAGATGAACAACATTATTGTAGAGAAGAAAACCGAGGGTACTTATTTGGAACCGTGCGATATTTCGTTAGAATTGTCGCAGGATAATTTTTGGGAGTCCAAAGAAAAATGCCGGGCAACTGATGAAGGGAACGAGGAGAGTTTTGAAGTCGGCGAACATAGCAGCCAATATCAAAGGGAAGAACATAACCTGAAGCCGAAGGTTAGAGGTCTTTCTTTGCAACTGAGTTTGGGTTTCCATGATACTTGCACTTCCAAGAAGAGGGAAAGAATGGAGTATCGTATCAGTACAAGAAAAGTTTCGTCCTGCAGAAACAAAAGAACTAAAGTTGAGAGAGTCGAAAAGAGTGAGGCAGTTTTGACTGAATTGAGGCTTGACCATGATCCTTGGTGCATTAAAAAGCAGCTTTTTGGAAGTGATCTTGGCAACATGTCTAGGCTCTTGTTGGCATCAGAAGTCGTACAATCTCATGTTTTCCCATTCTGGAATGCCGATCAACGTTCGAAAATTAAGGAAGGGTTGCCAGTTTCTGTGTGGGATTGTGATACAAACACAAAACATGAGATGGTTTTCAAGCAGTGGAGCAATGGATTCAATGTGCTTATCAAAAATTGGGTCAAGGACTTTGTGAAGAGGAGGGAATTGAAGCTGGGTGATGAAATTGGCCTTTACTGGGACAATTGCAGTTCAAGATTCAACTTTACTGTTCTTAACCGAGCTGCAAGGCATTAACTTCTTCAAAGTTTTTTTTTTTTTAATGGTAATAGTGATACAGGTAGTAGATAATATTAATCAACACTGAGTTCAAGTGTAGTTAAAATTTGAAAGTATAGTATTGGGCATCCTCATTTTTATGTTCAATTCAATCGTTTAATTGTTTGTGCTTATTTTCCATTAGCTGGTGATAATATTCACTAGTAAAAAAATTACGTTTCATGGGTGAAAAGCATACTCAGTTTCCCGTTTGCATTCCTAAAACACCATTGCAAAAGTTGTTCATGGCCAAGCAAGTCAACTCATTGATGTACTGATTGCATAATGTATTGATATAGTTAAAGCAATTGAAGGTTGAAACCATCAGGCTTATGCTTACAGGAAAAGATATAAAAGACCTCATCAAACTCCTCTGATTTATCTCTTTTTCTGATTCTAGAAGCAATGATATAATAGAACAATGGCAATCTTGTTGGAAAGGGCCAGTAATTTCAGAATTACTATATCTGTTCTTAAAGTGGTTCTTCTAAACTGGTGGCAGGACCTAGCGTCAAAGTAATATATACCGAGTGAAACCAGAAATTATTGGCAATGACTAAAACGAGAAACTAAAGCTCATGCATCACAAGGATTTGAAAGAAGCAAAGTATGTTTTGTATTCACATTTTTGTTATTTTCTTTCAGAATGTAACTCAAAAAGTACAGGGTGATGCTCCAGCAATTTCAAAAGTAAAAAGAGTGCACCCTAAATACTACTATTAAGTACTGTACATATTATCCCATATAAGTGAGACATTTCCATTACAGACAGTTCAGTGTTTCGCTATACATTTTGATTAATGTACATTATTGGTACACCTGAAAACGCTTAAAAACCAGGACTATATCCACCTCTCAAATCTCAATAGATTGGAGGATATAATGTTTAGATCAGAAAACTTCTAATGAGAAAGTATATTTAGGAGAGAAACTCTAGTGTGGATCAAGCTCCTAAACAGGCACTCTAATCCATCTTCAAAACTTTCAAAGATGGCATCCAAGGATTTCAGTTGTACCTGTGCAGATTGAATTTTCTCTTCCTCAGACTCTTCTCTTGAACTCTGCAGTAGTAAGTTGCTAACTGCAATATCGACTCTCTCTAACTCGTTCATGTTCTGCTGTTCTTCACATGCTGTCAAACCCTTCCGCACCAACTTGGAAACCAATGACCACTTTGAAGGCTTTGGCTTCAACAATGATGGAGAAGGAATAAGAGGAGGGTGTGAAAGATGGAGGCAGTGATCAAGCTTGCTTCTCCAAGCAATCGAGCCACTGCAGAGAGATGATGGTTTTGTTCTAACTGGGAAAAGTCCCTGAATATGTTATCCATTTGCTTCAATGATGCAAGAGAATTTGCAATTTCCTTTTTCATAGTCTTCCTAGAGCAAATGTAAGCACTGATATTGCTCTCAATGCTAAGCTCTCCTCCCTTGCTGCGTCGAAGAGCTGATTGAAATTCTCTAGCACTTTGTTTCATCGACAAAATGGCATCCCTTGTGTTACTGCACAGATCCAAGTGCTTTAATGAAAATCTAACAATTCACTGTCCCATTTCTCATTGTGATGCTGAGCTAAAGCTTGCTGGGTGAGGGGCAAATTAAGAAGATCCTCAATGCAAATATACAACTCTTCTAGGCCAAATAGAGCAGCGCAAAATGTTTCAGCATTTGATGATGAAGCTCCCTCCCAAGATCTAAGCTTCTTCAGCTCCTCTTTTAGTCTAAACGTGCTTGGTTGTGATCTAGCTGGGAAGCTGATGGATCGGACACTGTATTGTTTAATAGACTTTGAGGAGAAAGCAGCCATTGTCACTCTTTTAATTCTAGAAATACTCAAGTAAGATGGAGGCTGAGTTCTATTCTCCATTACCATGTATTTATACCAACAAATTTGGAGATGGGAAGGAACCAGAAATCACTGTAGGCCCATGTGCAAATGTGAAAGGCATGTGAAGACCGTGGGAATTTTCCTGTAAAATGTATTATGTTGTCACACATCCCATTAAAAATGACTCATAAACTTGCCTTATTAAATATCATCTCATGGTTCTGATTTGGGTACGGTGTATCTCACTTTTATGATTTTGTTTTTCACACACTCTGGATTCATTAGACCACTGTGCAATTTTGATCATCTAATGCACCACCGCCACTGCCAAACGCCGACCTAGATATTTTTCTATTGTTCAAATTCATGGAAGTTGGCTAACATTTAAAGAAATGCGGCCATTCAAAGTTCTCTGGATATGCAAGACCTTGCAACTGTGTCATTTGAGATCCGAAAAGATTAGGAACATTAAAAAAATGGAAAATATCTTATATATGAGTGCACGAGTGGTACCTCATCTATATGTTCCCTACAAGGCTTTCTAGCATAGACTTGCCAGAGTAAGACATCAGTCTTCTACTGGTTACATTATAATGTGGTACAGATAATATGTTTTCGGTTAATATATGGATACATGAATGCTACTACATTGACATATTCAACTTGTTAGGAATTAACATCCGCGAGGATCTTCTGATGGATTATGGCCAACCTATTGGAGGCAAATTTTATAGGGTGAGTTGAAGATAGATTTTGTTCTTACATATCTGTGTTTCACATACATTTAATTTCTGGTCTTCCATTTTGTTTGTTTATTTCTCGTCTTTTTTTCTCTGCATTTCCAAGAGCTACCTTGGTTTCGTTGACATTTAGAGTTATACATGCATTAAACTAGTATGGCTTGGTGTATAACCTTCTTTTAACATTCATCATGTAGAAATGTACGAATTAACTTCATCAATTCATCATATAGAAAGCCATCCTACAATGAGGCCACATCCAACAGCAGCACTCCAGGAGCCTCCGGTGCAATTTCGTTATTCCTATAGTAAAGTGTTTTTGCTTTGGGAAAGGGACCTGAGATGCCATATTTTATCGAATGAGGAGCCTAAATGTTGGAGTAAAGGACAATCAACAAAAACATATATAGAACTTCTAAATTCTACCCTCGTTAACGTGTTATGATATTAATTAATGTCAGGATTCCCTTTTCGTAGGTTCATCGCCAACACGTGGAAGAACGCAAGTTAATTAACCTTTACTTGAATAAGGAAATATTGTAAAATATGTACTAATTTAAAAGGAAAAGAAAAGAGAAAGGTGCCGCAGTTTTCTTGTGACAAAATCGAGAAGTCATATCTTGTTGAGATTCAGTCATGGTAATAATGTTGGGAATATTGATTCAAATCTCATAAAAGATTTGTTTAGGATTTGTTAGAGATTTGTTAGATGGATAAAAAGACTTGCAAAAGAAGAATTTCAAGAGAAAGAGGATTCTTAATAGGTAAGTTTGACTTGCAAGAGAAGAATTATAAAAGGAAAGGGATTCTTAATAGGCAAGTTTGACTTACAGGAGAAGAATTCTAAGAGAAGAGGATTCTTAATGGGCAAGTTTGTATGGTTATAAATAGGTGAAGTCTCTACATGGTTAAGTATGAGAAAAAGATGTAAAAGAGTTGTAGGATTTTGTGGGATAGACACTCCATAAGAGTATTGGGGCTCTACGTCTTATGGGTGTGTATGTTTGTTCGTGAGTGGACTAGAGGAGACTGAGAGGGTCCACATAGGTATGATGTATGAGAGTTTATGTTTGTTTGGGTTGAGAATACTCCATAAGACTAGAGGAGATTGAGAGTGTCTTATGAGTATTAATTGTTGAGTGAGGTTGATGATTCGATGTATGTTTGTAATTCTCTACAACTAGTGAATCTTTTTTTCTCATCCGTGGATGTAGGTCAGTTGGACCGAACCACGTTAAATTGTTGTCTCTTGTGTGTTTGATTTATTGTTTGATTTCGCTTCCATTGGTGTGATTGGATTGGAGGCTTTTAGCCCAACAAATGGTATCAGAGCTGTGGTGTTCCCCAACAAATAACACTATGGACAGGTCTGTTCTTACGTAATATGCCATAAACATAATAAGTTCTAGTAATAATCAAGACTGATAATTTCCTTGACAATGGTATTTGATCATTGACTAATTTATCTTCTCATTAGTTCATAAGTCATGTTGTGGACCTAAGAATTTATCATGAATATGCAATGTGATAGACATTCAATCTGTTCAAGTTGTGGACGTAGCTTTGAGAACTCTGCTATGGCGATTCGAAGGATATATAACAGAGGAAAAACAAAGGAAAAACGAAGAAACAAATCTAGTACTGTAAACTGTCTCACACAGATTATGAGCTTCATTTCATTAATTTATAGGTTTAAAAAATACAAAAGTTTCTTTAACTACTACAAAAGTTATTTGCCTAACAGTATGGATTACCATATACAGATCTATCATGCTACCTAAACTGATAGAACAAATTACGTAAGTTGTAGTAGAAATGCCATACCTAGTTGCTTCAACCACTAATATTCCTCCTTGACAATTTTGCTGGAAACACCAAGATTTTTCCTTAATGTTTCAAACCTTGCTTTTGATAAAGCCTTGGTCAAAATATCTGCAATTTGATCTTCTAACTTCCAATGCAACAGCTTCACTTCATTCTTAGCTTCAACTTCTCTAATAAAGTGATATTTTATCTTAATGTGCTTAATTCTTCCATGAAACATAAGGTTCTTGACCATTGCAATGCTGACTAATTATCACAAAAAATTTCTGTTGGATTATCTTGCATTTGAGTTAAATCCATTAGAATTTTTTTTTAGCCAAATTGTTTGATTAATAGTAGTTGCAACAGTTATATACTCCATTTCTATAGTAGATTAAGCCATAATTCTTTATTTCTTTGAGTTCCAACTGAACACATTTAATCTAATGAATAACACATAACCTAAAGTGCTTTTCATGTCTTCATTAGAGCTAGCCCAATCACTGTTTATGAATCTAACTAGTCTTGAATTTTCATTCTTCTTGAACCAAATTCCCGGTTCATTGGTTCCTTTGACATGTCTCAACACTCTTTTAGCAACCTTAAAATACAACTCACTAAGACTTTGCATGAACCTAGAGAGTAAATTTACAGCATACATGATGTCTAGCCTTGTTGCTGTCAAATACAATATGCAACCAACCAAGCTTCTATAAATGAACCATCAATTTTGTTAACTCCATCTTCCTTAATAAGTTTTTCATTTTGAGCTAAAGGGATGTTGATCGGTTTATAATTTTTTATCCCAAACTTATTCAAGATTTCATTAGCATATTTTCTTTGACAAATGAATATTCCTTACTCGTCTTGATAAATCTCTATTCCAAGAAAATAAGATATTTCTCCCATATTTATCCTATAAAAAACTTCCTATATTTGGTGTTTAAAATCCTCCACAAGAGCTAATTTGCTACTTGTCTCCAAAAGATCATCAATATACAAATAAACAATTAATAGATCACTACTGTTAGAAACCTTAATGTATAATATTGCTTCACTAAGGTTTTTCTTAAATCTTAACTTCAGCAAATGATCATCAATTCTAGAATTTAAAGCTCTTGAAGCTTGTTTTAATTCATACAAAGCCTTCTTGAGTAAATAAACTTTGCCCTCATCTCCTTTGGCAATAAAACTGTCAAACTATTCAACGTAAATTTTTTTCTCAAGTTAACCATTTAAGAAGGCAGATTTGACATCAAGTTGGTGTATTTTTCAACTTTTATGGGTTACTAAGGTTAATATCAAACTTATGGTGTCCAACCTTGCAATTGGAGCAAATGTATATGAAAAATCAACATGAAGCTATTTGGAGTAGCCTTTAGCTACCAATCTAGCTTTAAGTTGTTAATGGAACCATCGGCATTCAATTTTATTTTGAAAATCAATTTAACACCATTGATGTTTTTATTTGTTTGGTCTGTCAACCAACATCCATGTTTGGTTTTTCTCAATTATATGAATATATTCTTTTATGGCATTCTTCCACTCTAAAAATTTGATAGCTTTTTCAAAGCTTATAGGTTCAAGAATGACAACATTTGATCTTTGATAAATATTTGTGAGTAGTTTGATTCCTCTCACTGGTTCATGATCAATGGTTTCATTTTCAAACATATAATCTTCTTAATCTTATAAACTTATCATGTCTATAATAGTTTGTTTGATTGATTCTCCTTTTGACTTTTTCTATTTTCAAGCAACTTGCTTATTAAATCTCTTGTTCTTACTTATAATCACCTTGCTTGTAAATAAATTATAAGTCCTATAGCTTTTGGTGATGTTGTTATAGCCCAAAAAAATATAAATTTTTACTTTTTGATCAAGTTTGTCTTTTTTGATTTTAGGAACAAACACATAACAGATACTGTCAAAAACTTTGAGATGCTACACTAACAGTTTACTTCCATACTAGGCTTCGAATGATGTTTTTCCCTTCAAAACTTTTGTGGGTAGCTTATTAAACAAGTGGATAGAGGTATTGACTACCTCTATCTAAAACTTTTTGAGAAGATTTTTTTCAAACAGCATACATCTTGCCATCTCCATGATTATTTTATTTTTTCTTTTATTGACTCCATTTTGTTGTTGAGTGTAAGTTATCGTGAGTTGGTGTTAAATTTTTACAATTTCACAAAACTCATTAAATTTATCAAATGTGTATGCAGTACCATTGTCTGACCTTATGATCTTGATTTTATAACCACTTTGATTCTTATTCCAAACCTTGAACTTCCAAAATATAGCTACAACTTCAGACTTTTGTTTCATGAAGTAAATCCAATACATTCTGATAAAATCATCTATAAAAGCAATGAAATATCTATTGTCATTCAAGGATAAGGTTCTTATAGGACCACAAACATGAACAAGTTGTAGTTTTTCAGTTAACTTTCTTGCTTTGTTAATTATAAATTGCAACTTACTTTATTTTCTTAGCTGACAAGCTTCACACACTCTAACACAGACTTAAACAGTAAGCACGTTTCATACAAGATCATTGTGATGCATGAAATTCAATGCATTATAGTTGAAATGTCTTATCCTTTTATGCCATAAAATAGATTCATCATGTGAAGTAGCATATATAGAGGAGTTTGTTTCATGTCAATTCAAGGAAAAACATTTTCCTTTCATGTTAATAGTAAAGAGTTCATGGCCAATAGGATCATAAATTATGCATGTCTTGTTTTGGAAAACTAAAGACTAGTTCTTTTCTAGCAACTTTCCTACACTTAATAGGTTTTAATCTATTTTAGGCACAAATAGCACATTTGAAATAAGCTTGGTACCTATTGGTGTTTCAACAACCACTACTTATTTTTCTTTAACTTCTATGAAATCATCATTACCTATTCTAACTTTAAAAGTACTGGTCTTATTTAATTCTTTGAACATATTGATATCAAATGCCATATGATATGTGCATCCACTATTAATGAGCCATGCAGCCGAGGAGGTTCTGGTTGTATAGCAAGTTGTAACAAAAACTTGCTCTTCTAGCTATTATTGGTTGTTTATAACTCTAGTTTATTGATTTGGCTACTGCTATTTTTTGGTTTTGCATATATTCTTCATGTGACTAAGCTACTTACAGTACTTATATTATATGTCAAGTCTATATTAATAATATTTCTTCAAATGAGTGGTCTTTTTACAGTGAAAGCATGGTGAAAGTTTTTCTTTCTTTTCATTATTTCCAAAACCCTTGTTTCTTCGATCTCCTTATTTTCTTTCTTTGCTTTTTGTTTACATCTTGTCTTTCTTCTTAGCTAAAAAAACACCTTTTGTTAAATTCTCTTGTCTGATAGCCCTTATTTACTCTTGAGCTTGCAGAACATTGAACAACTTTATTAGAGTTATCTTGGTTAGGTCCTTAGAGTCTTTAAGGGATAAAATTTTTGACTCAAACCTCTCTAATAAATTAATAAGAACCTTCTTCACAATTCTTCTATCTGACAGCTCCTCACCAAGTAATCTAATTTTGTTTACTATTTTCATGAATCTATCATTGTACTCCTTTGAATTTTCAGACTCTTTCATCTTTAAGACTTTAAACTCTCTTCTAAAATTCAATCACTTGTATTTATCTTGTCTTGTCATTACCTTAGAATTCTTCATTGAGTATATCCCAAACTTATTTTACAGTATCACAAGTCATAATTCTGATGAATATGTCATTAGAAACTAAAGACTCAATATAGCTTTTAGCCTTGTACCTCTTTTACTTTTTCTTCAATATAATTTTTCATTTGAGTTACTATTGGATTTACAGGAAATTGTACTGATTCCTTCTTATTTTTCACCACTTTTCATAAATCAAAAGCACTTAAATACATAAATCAAAAGCACTTAAATATGACTTCATTTTGATAGCACATATCTAGTAGTTCTCACCAGAAAAAATAAGAAATGAAGGTAAGGAACAGCTTCTTGAAGCCATTTAAGGTTGACAAAATTTACTGGTAAGTGTTTGATGGCTTTTCACTCAATTTCAATAGCATATAGGTCTTCTAAGACCTTATAGAAGCTTTGATACCAATTGAAGATTATAAAACATAGGAAGAACAAAGGAAAAATGAAGAAGCAAATCTGATATTACAATAAATTGCCTCATACAGGTCATGAGCTTCATTTTATTAATATAGGCTTAAAAAATACAAAAGTTTGTTTAACTATTACAAAAGTTGTTTGCCTAATGGTATGGATTACCATACATGGATCCATCATGCTACCTAAACTGATAAAATGGCATAACAAGTTGCATAAGTTGTAGTAGAAATGTCATATCTAGTTGCTTCAACCACTAATACAATTTCAGTTCCAGATGCACAACAAATATTCGAATGCAAATTCTTTTCCTTTCCTGTTGATTAATTAATTCTATCTCCTTCTCCTAGATCTAAATGCTTTCTGAAGCTAAAACTTCTTGATATTTCATCTCAAACCATGCTTCTATAACGCTATAATTGAAGGTTTAAATCAAGAATTCTTAGGGTCCCTAAGGTCGATAGTGTACAGCCTAAGCTCTCTCTATCAGCCCATTAATTGTTTGCATAGAATAAATTCTTCCAATTTGTTAAAAATCCTAGAATATGACTCTTAATATATCCTGCCCAGAATTGAGTTGACTGAAGCGTTACAGTCTTATTGATTGCCTTTCAGCAACGAAGGATTTTCAAAACTAAAACTTGACATCAGGATGATTTGACCAGCGTATGGTTTTGAACTAACTTGTTCCCTTATTCTATTTCTGTTCACCCATTTTAATCAGCAATTCAATGATATAACTGGTATAAGCAGAGACAATTTGCACATGGAGTCTTTAAAAACCGAGGTAATAGTTTCTCTCAAGAGAAAAGTCCCAGTGTCAACAGAAGAAACTAGGAAAAGATAAGAGACAGAATAATTTGGATTGCCAAACTTCAATTTATATTTCATTCTATAACTATGTAATTTTTGTATAATGTACAAATCGATTGAATTGAAATTGAAATCCACAGGCATATCCTCTAAAACTTGGAAGCCTCAGTAGGATTTGGCATGGAAATAGCCATGATAATTCTCTATTGAGAGATTATGTTCAAGAGAGAGGTTCTTGCTTTGCTCAAGTGCCTAAACAGGCATTCTAGACGGTTCTCTAGGCCTTCAATGCTACTCTCCAAAGCCACCAATCTTTTACGTGCATTTTGCATCTTCTCAACATCGGAAATATGTCTGCAAAGTGCTGCATCAACGCTTTCCAATTCATTTACATTCTCTTGCTTCTCTTCACATGATATTACCCCTTTGTGCATCAGTTTTGAGACCAGAGACCATCTTGTTTGCTTTGAGGAAACTGGTGCCGACAAGAATGAGAAAAGGGATTGGAAGATAGCAGTATTCATTACGGTAACTTCTCTTAGCACCCGAATCACAGCTGAGAAATGATGATCTTGACCCAGGAGTGGTGATGCTCCAAGTTTGTTGTCCATTTGCTTCAATTCTGTGATCGTTTTCTTTCCCTGCTTCTTCATCTCCTTCCTGAAGCGAGTGTAATTAAGAATGTTATTCTCAATCCTTGCATCTCCTTTTCTCCTTCGAAGAGCAGATTGAAGAGTATGAACATGTTCCTTAATTTGAAACATGTTATCCCTTGAAATACCACAAATATCTAAAAGCCTCACAGATCCATTCAACAATTCATCAATACATTTCTCGTGTTGATGCTGAGAGAGGACTTGTTGGGTTGAAGCCATGTTGAGAAGATCATCCATGCATTGATACAAGTCTTCCAGTCTTGAAAGACCCCCAAAAATCGACTCAAATGTTAACAAAGATGATGCTTCCCAAGTTTTGAGCCTGTTCAGCTCATCTTCAATTCTAAGGGTGGTAGGATGTGACCTTGAAGGCAAGCTTATTGATCTTAAATGGTATTTGCCTGTCATTCTAATTTGCTCTTTTCTTTTCTTTTTTCAGAGCTTGAATTTGAGATGGTTTCTGTCTCAGTGAATATCTATTTATATAGAGACATAAAGAGAAAAGATAAGGCTAGGGTTTTGAATCCTAATGTGACCATCATGTGAGCCAGAGTGGGTTTCCCCTTTGAATTCGGATACCTTGTCATGTCATTCACCAGCAAATAGCTCAAATAATATGCTGTTCGTTTAGTACTTCCAGAATAATGAAATATATATGACGTGTCTTGTTGTTTTGTCATTTCTATGTTTCTTTATGCAGGTAACCTAAACAGTCATCACCTGTTTTGCCTCCCTTCCAGCCACATTATCCCTAACATTTTCAAAGAATTGCAGCTGCCTCACTTTCTGCGTATGTGGCCTACCTGGTTGTCTCCACTTGCAAGAACCTTTCAACAGCAAAACGTATTGAATAACATTTTTCTTGAGATTGAGATCCAGATCTGTCAGATAAACCAAATTCAAAGCTTATAATTTATAGGCTATTATATTTCCAAGATCTTGATCATATAGCATAATCGGCAACCCCTTGTATTACTATAATATTGTGTGCACGAGTGGCTCGAACTGCTATTGTCTCCATTTTATTTATTAACCAATAATGCTACATAATTGACCTTGCTTAGAAGCCTGAAATTTTTTTTTTCTTTTTTTGTAAGCAATCCGAAGGCATACTTGGGTAAGGTAAGAACACGTATTGCTCATATTGCAACACGTGTGCCAATAATAAGGTCTATATATCATGGAATTCAGTGAATTAACATTTGGAATCTGGCTGTTTGGGACAGGTGCTACTCTTTCACGTATGAGGTAATATTATGAGAGACTGATGAATTGAGGGGAAAGGAAATAAAGAATGCTAATATCTAGAACTCTTGAGAATGTAAAGTGAAAGGATTATCGCTTTAAGCAATTATGGTTCGAGAGAAACAGATTAAAATTGCAGAAATAAAATCTTGATCTGACCAAATTGTTATCAGTCCTTCCCTTTTTCAAGTCTGATACAAAGTAATTTCAGAATCTTCTAGTCTGGACATTTTAGGAATTTTCTTTTTCTGGTCAAAACTGGCGGTAGAAAACTACTACGAAAAACGATTGGCATCCACCATCCTCACTAATCTCAGGGCAAAATCCTCACTCTTGACAATGGAAGGGAATTGGATTTTCTCAACAAACTAATGCAATTCTTGGTTGTCTTGTGGCGAACTTACATGGGAGCACTCACTAGAAAACGACCAAAACAAGAAACTACTAAGGTCCCACGAACCTCTTTTGCATTCAATGATCAAGGGCTTCCTTAAAAAGGCAGACATTTTCTCCAAGAAAACTAGTGTTCCTTTCATAAGGGATCATCCATTCCAAGCAACGCAAAAATCTTCCCATGTTTATCCTTGGTAAGAAGACCGAGTCTATTACTTCTTCATGGTTTATCTCAAGAGTCCAAAACTCCTTGACTCAAGTCTTTGAAATCTATGGAGTTAATTTCGTCGAGAATGGAACGGAGAGGGTGTTCGCATGCCATTCCTTCATTCATTCGTTTTTATTTTTTATTTTTATGTTTTTATTTATTTTATTATTTTTTTTTATTTTATTATTTTATTAAATAAATTTTGTAAGAAAATATCAATAAGATAAAAATAATAAAATAATTCTTATTCGATTGATTTAATTCGTAATGATCTGGTATAAGTAAATTTTTTTAAAAGAATCAGTTCAAGTTAAGATTTTTTTGGGTTGAGTTGGAGATTAATTTAAGATGTTCCACCTCATATCAAATGTCCATGTAACACCTCTCTATTTTTTCTTTTTTTTTTAAAGCTTTTGTTTTTTTGTTTTTTTTTGTTTTATTTTTTTTGTTTTTATTTTCATTAGATAAATTTTATAATAAAAAAATTAATTAAGGTAGAAATAACAAAATAATTTGTATCTAATGGATTTCGATTCGTTCTGATCTAATTGATGTGCTTTCTTTTAATTCAAGATAGTTTGAGTTAAGTTTTTTTAAATCAAACTCAAATAAGTGCAATGTATAATTTAAGTTATTTTAAATCTAACTCAAATAAGTGCAGTGTTTTGGATATTAAGCTTCAACCTTAATATATATATATATATATTATTTATTTAATTTTATATTTATATATGTATTTTATTAAAAAAATATTATTTAATATTTTAATTTAATATATTATGTGTCATCGCATTTAACTTTTTTTTTATTTTTTATTTTTTAAAATTTTATTTATTAGATAAATTTTGTAAAAAAAAAATCATTGAATATAGAAATTATAAAATAACCTACATCTAATAGGTTTTGATTCATCGTGATCCACTAGATGCAATTTTTTAAATTAAAAATTTAATTAAAATTTATTTTTTAATAATTTGAGTCAAATCGAGATTAGATTTGGGTTGTTCTACCAGACTCTTTTCAGGATATATAAAAAAATATTTAATTATTTATTTAATTTATATTTATATATATTATATTAATAAAAATTTTATTTAATACTTTAATTTAATAAAAATTATATTTATATATAATTAAGTTATAATTTATATTAAAAATAAGTACACTTATATTTGTTTGTATGTTCTCATATGTTAAAATGTGACATAAAAATTTTATTTCTTTTATTTTTAAAACCTAACATAAAATATAAAAAATACAAATTTTATTTCTTTTATTTCTAAAACATAATTTTAAAAATAAAAAATAGTCTAATTCTAGTTATAATAAAGATTCAATATTCCTTTATCCTGTTTTTAAAAATTGAAGGCACACTAAAAAAATATATATATAGCTTTCACAGTCATGATTCTTAGTGATCCGTTAGACAGTAAATCAGTGCTATATATGTCTATATTAAGTTCTTTTTTTTTTTTTTTTATTCTTCTTATATAAACCTTTAGAAGGTTAAACTCTGTTCTAAAATAGGTATGTGGGAATGCTAAAGAGGAAAAACTTAGTTATTCCTATAACAGTTCAAAGCCAGATCTCTGTATCATTCTCAGATAGGAACAAACAGCAAATAATCATGATATTTCTAATCACGGCTATATATATTAACAGCTGCATCATATATTTGTGTCGTGCATTCATGATTAAACAAACATTTGAACAAAAAGGGAGATTGGATATGATCTAAGAGAACCAAATATAGAAGGACTAAATCTATTTGTATTGTATTGCTGTCAACTACAATATAAATATACAACAATTTGGCATCACTGGTAAGTGATGATGTTAAGGAAAGTGACCCTATTTTGGACTAGACACTTGAAAATGCAATCTAATCCAGCTTCAAAGCCATCAATGCTGGCATCAAGAATCTTCAACATACCCAGCACCGTTTCCAATCCAGCCATACCATCACCAATCTTTAAGTGCCCATTGATGGAGTAAACAGCCAGATCAACACTCCCAACTTCATTCATTACCTTCTGTTCCTTGTCAGAGGACAGTAATCCTGTGGGAATGAAGTTTGAGATCTTTGACCATCCTCCAACCCTTGTCTTCATTGAAGGCATTGACAGGAAGAGCAGAAGAGATCGAAAAACAGAGATAGTAATGGAGCTTGCTTCTCTTAGGACTTTGGCTACAATTAATAGATGATGATCTACATCCAAGGGTGTTGATGAACCAAATTTGCTTTCTATTTTCTTCAATGCTTCGAGGCACTTGGCTACTTCCTTTTTGACCTTCTTCCTGAACTTGATGTAAGCAGCAACTTCAGTTTCAATACTTGAATCTCCACGCCTTCTGCGTAGAGCTGATTGAAGGGTTTGGACATGTTCTTTCATCGTCAACAATACATCTCTTCCTTTGCCACAGGTGTCTAGAAATGTGACAGACTCATCCAGTGCCTCCTCCACGAGTTTCCCATTTTGATAGTGAAGAAGTGTTCGTTGCGTTTCTGGAGAGCTAATGATTTCTCGGACACAATTATACAACTCTGCAAGGCCAACTAGCCCAATCTGAATAGTCTCACCAGAAGAAACAGCTGTGGATACCAAGGATGTTTTCCAGGGTTTTAGGTGGTTTAGTGCTGCTTCAAGCTTAACAGAAGTGGGATGTACCCTGGAGGGCAAGCTGATGGACCTAACAGGATGATGCACATCAGGCAACGAAGGTAAGCCTGCCATTTTACTTTACCAATTCTGAAAGCTATATCCTGGTGCTGAAATTGAAATGATTCATTAACCTATATATAAGAACACAATAAAGGAACCCTCAGCATATTCTCGTCAAGACAGTAACAAACGCATGTGATGGCATTGTGGGTGACCTAACTTTCTGATTATCTTGTAACATTTTTTGCCAACACCTTGTAACCCGAAATTCTTTTTTTATTCTTGTGGTCTTACATGGGCAAGGTCGACTAGGCCAGAATATGTTAACAGTGAATACAGGCCAACACTGCAGGCTGCAGCTGCAAGTCTTTGTCTCCTCAATCATCAATTGCACCAAGGTCTCAACGAATAAACATTCCGATTCCGATTCTTTGATAATGATAAGCCATCTATAAATGGAATCGTACCAATCCCCATAGAAGTTAATTTTGCAATTCATGTCTTTCTTCAAAGAGCCAATAACAAGAATAGACTAAAATATTCTAGGGTTACTTTAAGATAGGATGTTGCAGCATTAAAAATTTGCCCTAGTCATTGAATCTAGCCTAGGATTAGCAATGGAATCGATAGGTAATGGTGGTGACAGTGAAGGTTGGTGTCCTCAGGAGACAAGAAGGAGCGAAGCAGAAAGATTTCATTAATCTTGGAAATTGAAGGATAAGCTAATGAAGACAACATTTTATAGAAAATTATGTAAGGTGTCAGCTTGTTGGAAGAATTATGAGTGTAAACACCATGTCAAAATTTATTCTCCTAGTCTCCTCTAGTTTTCTGTATGTAACCAGCTCGTGAACGAGCAATACCACAAATGAAAATTGGCAGGAAACTTTTAAGGCCTTGTAAAATATGTTGGCTTTGTAAAATTGAAGAATATCTGCAGAGATGGAAGAAAACTTTAGGGTTTCTTTTCAAGTAAGGATATGAGATCAGTAAAAACTAGATAATGATTGGGCTGTTTATTTTTCAGACACTAATGTTGCAAACTCACATGCCCATCCAATCAGAGGGAAGCAAAGAAGCCTGTGCCACCAGATGGTTCAGTTAGTGGGCCCCGTAAGGCACGATTCATGCATGTGAACGACCTCAGTGCCGGAGGTCAGTTATTTTGTTTGTTCAACATGTGATAAGGCTGAAGAGGTGTGCAGAAAAGCAATTGGCTTGGCAAAGTGAGCAAATTTTTCGGTATGTTTTAATCAAAATCATGCATCATGGGATTTCATCTTTAACATTTTTTGCCTCTCTTCTTTAATTTGGCTGATGTCCATGAAAAAAAAATCAAGTTCCTTTTTTGGCCAAGATGAAAAAACCCAAAAAAAAAAAAAGGGAAAAATCTTTAATTCTTTGTTGTCATCTTAATAGTTGATACTGAGCTATGATATGGGGCCCATGATGACAGCCAAGGGTTGTCCACCCTGATTAAAAAGACAGGCTAACTGATAAAATAATTTTTGTCATTCTTCACGTATTCAATAAGAAAAGCTGGTTTGAGTCTTATAGTCCATTTCGTATTACAGATTTTAATTATTCATAGAAAATAATTGTTATCATTAATGGTTGGATGTGAGACTGAAATTTTTGCTATCTATATAGGTTTGTTGGTGACTTAGGCTTTTGGTTGTAGGGATATATTTGTTGAGTCATATTCATCATTAGCTATTAACAGGCTTTTGCACTTTTCAAGTGATCCATGAGTGCCAATCTTTAATGAAGAGGGCATTTGTATAGGAAAGTCAATTTTTGTGCAGAATTTTTTGCTAACATGCTTCAAGAAAAAGAGTTTGGAGTTCGACTAGTTTATTTCCTTTCTAATGATTTACTTAAAATTTTACATAATGATCTTAATGAAATAACTAGGTCACGGGCTAAAGCGGTTAAAGAAAAAAAAGACAAAACTAAACAAAATTCCCATTACTGCCGACCATGCCTTTATTTATTTAAGATTAATCTATTGGACTAAAAGCCTCCAATCCAATCACATCAACGAAAACGAAATAAAATAATAAATCAAATACACAAAAGATAATAATTTAACGTGGTTCGATCTAACTGACCTACATCTACGAATGAGAAACAAGATCCACTAGTTGTAGAGAATTACAAACATACATCATATCATCAACCTCACTCAACAATCAATACTCATAAGACACTCTCAATCTCCTTTAGTCCTATGAAGTATTCTCTAACCAAACAAACACAAATCCAAACTCTTGTGCACTTTTTCAATACAACCAAACACATACCCATATGTTCCCATACATTATACCTATGTGGACCCTCTCAATCTCCTCTAGTCCACTCACAAACAAACATACACACCCATAAGACGTAGAGCCCCAATACTCCTATGGGGTGTCTATCCCACAAAATCTTACAACTCTCTTATATCTTTTTCTCATACTTAACCCTGTAGAGACTTCACCTATTTATAACCATACAAATTTGCCCATTAAGAATCCCTCTCCTCTTAAAATTCTTCTCGTGTAAGTCAAACTTGCCTATTAAGAATCCCTTTCTTTTTAGAATTCTTCTCTTACAAATCAAACTTACCTATTAAGAATCCTCTTTCTCTTGGAATTCTTCTTTTGCAAGTCTTCTTGTCCATCAAGCAATATCTGACAAATCTCAAACAAATCTCTTATGGGATTTGAGTCATTATTCCCAACAATCTCCACCTTGACTCAAATTCCATCAATCATCTGTCTTCATGCTAGACATGTTTGGCTCCACCTACAATGGAAGTCTCACAATCATCTTCTCTTCTCTTATGTCTTCAAGTTTCATACAAATCAATCCTCAATTTTCAAAACTCGAACTCGAACTCTTTTCTCGAATCGAGCTCTTCTGAACTTGCTTCTTTTCATGTCTCAAATCATGCACTTCCCAAACCTTTAGCTCTTCTCACATCTCAAACTTTCAGCTCTTTCACATCTCGAACCTTCGACTCTTTTCACATCTTGAATCTTCAACTCTTCTCACATTTCAAACCTTCAGCTCTGATATCACTTGTCATTTGTCTTCATGCTAGACATGCTTGGCTCCACCTACAATGAAAGTCTCATAATCATCTTCTCTTCTCTTGTGTCTTCACGCTTCATACAAATCAATCCTCAATCTTCAAAACTCGAACTCAAACTCTTTTCTCGAATCGAGCTCTTCTGAACTTGCTTCTTTCCATGTCTCAAATCATGCACTTCCCAAACCTTTAGCTCTTCCCACATCTCGAACTTTCAGCTCTTTCACATCTTGAACTTTCAGCTCTTTAACATCTCGAATCTTCGGCTCTTTTCATATCTTGAATCTTCAACTCTTCTCACATTTCAAACCTTCAGCTCTGATACCACTTGTTAGGGAACACCACAGCTCTGATACCATTTGTTGGGCTAAAAGCCTCCAATCCAATCACACCAGCGGAAGCGAAATCAAACAATAAATCAAACACACAAGAGACAACAATTTAACGTGATTCGGTCCAACTGACCTACATCCACGGATGAGAAACAAGATCCACTAGTTGTAGAGAATTACAAACATACATCATATCATCAACCTCACTCAATAATCAATACTCATAAGACACTCTCAATCTCCTTTAGTCCTATGAAATATTTCTACCCAAACAAACACAAACCCAAACTCTTGTGCACCTTTTCAACACAACTAAACACATACCCATATGTTCCCATACATTATACCTATGTGGACCCTCTCAATCTCCTCTAGTCCACTCACAAACAAACATACACACTCACAAGACGTAGAGTCTCAATACTCCTATGGGATGTCTATCTCACAAAACCCTACAACTCTCTTACATCTTTTTCTCATACTTAACCCTGTAGAGACTTTACCTATTTATAACCATACAAACTTGCCCATTAAGAATCCCTCTCCTCTTAGAATTCTTCTCGTGTAAGTCAAACTTGCCTATTAAGAATCATTTTCCTTTTAGAATTCTTCTCTTGCAAGTCAAACTTACCTATTAAGAATCCTCTTTCTCTTGAAATTCTTCTTTTGCAAGTTTTCTTGTCCATCAAGCAATATCTGACAAATCTCAAACAAATCTCTAATAAATCTCTAACAAATCTCAAACAAATCTCTTATGAGATTTGAGTCATTATTCCTAACATAACCAAGTTGAGAAATGAGAAGCACGAGCCATTATTCGTTAGCCAGTCCATACTAAATAATTGATTATATAATAACCTTCAGAATTTAATAATCAAATGATGTGCCTTGTTTTTTTTAGAGGGTGATTGGTGAACCACGTCCAAATTCTATTTTAAATTTTGGTTTAAAATCTCTTCAAAAAATGCTCCGTTCCAAACTCCTTTTCATATATATATTTTTTAAAGACACTGTATATGAATGAATTACATAACGGAAAAATTACAAAAAAAAAAAAAAAAAAAAACACAGAGAGAATACAAAAATTACAAAAATCTAAAAAAAAAAGCAACAAAATCTGTATGTTTAGAAATACCTATTTTGGCAACCCATCTTCCATGGAATAATTAACCTCTCTTAATATGCTTTGAAGAAAGACAGTGAATCATGCATTTTCATGTTTTGAACAAGAGAAAATTATCAAAACTTAAAAAAAAAAATAAATGCCTGATCTCCAAAAATATAAATTTCTTTCTCTAACCTTTGTCTCAATGTATAATGAGCAAATAATTAGTTTATAAAATTGAATCATAATAAAAACCAGCTAGATTGAATTTAAAGAATTAAAAAAGAGAAGATTTATTATGAATCTTAATCCATAGAACAAATTAAGAATGAATGAGTACGAAAAGTGAGGCTTCTTCTCTCTTCCTCGCCAATCGCCATGCGACCAAGATACCTACTATAGGCAGGCCGAGTCAAACTTGTGGCAAGATTAACGTGAAGAATTAGGGACTAAAATGAATGGGATGAGGTTGCGTCTCTCCTGATGATGCAGGAGAGGCTTTAACTTATTTGGGGCTTCATGTGATGAGAGGCTTTCAACGATCAATTCAAGACCCAAACCAGTTGCATGGCTAAAACCCTAAAACTTGAAATCATTGCATCCTGATCAATGATTTCAGCATCCTTGTCTGTATTTGGTTAGAGAGAATTGCATGCATTTGTGGACCTTGCTTTTCCCTGACAACTGCATGCCAATATTCCCAGTAGGGTTTATTATTATTTTTTTTTTGGAATAAAAATTAGTATTAACCTTGAAAGGGTTCAAGTTGATGTAAAGAATACTGAAGAAGTAGATGGAACGATGTCGACAGCAACGACACCAGCCATGTTGCTGATGGTATTTCAGACATGTGACTCAAAGCATTTTATTTATTCAAATATGCAAAAAGAGAGATGATGGTTGTAATCAAAGAGTCGGCGTACAAACAATTTTTTGAGACCTACTTTCTTTCAAAGGTGAGAGAAAAAAACAGATAAAACTGAAAATTAATTTGAAATTATAATTTTCAAATAATTCAAATTAGTTTTTCTCTTTTTAGGTCGGTGAAGTTTGAATATTTTATGTTTTGATTCAATTCAAGTTTTAAATAAACAAATAAAAAAATCTTAATTAAATCAAATTATATATTTATTAGTTTTATATTTTTTAAAATTTTTATTAAAAAAATATAATTATTTTATATTTAAATTTATTTAAATATATTTAAAATAATAATAAAAATAATTAAAAAAATTAATTTTAGAAATATGATGAACAAACTGAACCACTAAATTTTGGTTCAAGTAAAATTGATTTCTTAAAAAGGTTAATTTGGATTTTGAATCAAAAATTTAAAATTTATAATACTAAACGTTAATTGAATAAATGAACCGAATCCAATCTAATTCTATCCATTATTGCCCCTACTTTCTTGGTCACCTAAACAACATTTAAATTAAATAATAATTCTAATTTCTAACTAAGTTTGGCTTTGAGCAAAATCCAAACATGACATAATAATTTTTCATACATAAAGAGAAGTTAGGAGGAAGAAATATTAAAGGGAATAAATAATTTTTGAAAGTTTATATTTTAATGCAATGTTAGCCTATAAATGTAACCCGATAAGCAAATACATCAGTTATATCACAACTATTGTATTTTTATTTATTAATTAATCTATAACTTTTTTATTATTAATAGAGTTTTAAATAATTTGTGCAATCAATTAAAATATAAAAGAATTGTTGTATACATCAAGTTATATTGCATACAAAACGTGAAATACTTCAAACTATAAACATTTAACAATGATATGAAAATAAAATAGCTAAAAATTTTTTTATAGCTTTAGACATAAGAGCATCATTGTATAAATGCAGTCTTCATGTAGAGTGACTATTGTTCTACAAAGTAGCCTCACTAATACTATCTATAATGAGAGATATTTCATGCAACACAGTAGATACCAGTAAACAAATCTATCGATATTGGTCAATTAGACATCAATTGTAAGTGAAATTTGTTGGATAAAATTTGAAAAGGATGTAAAAGCTATAGAATTAATAACTTAATTCAAACATATAACCAGAATAAAAGTTATAAATTAATAAAAGGTTTAGAATTAAAAAATTTAAATCATCGCTCAACAATACACTCAAAGTTAAATTAAGGGGCATGAACATGACAAACTAATATATTACACAATTAAAGAGCAATTTAATCTAGTAGTTAATAACAACTGTAATACACATATTGAATGAAAAGGGGTAAGACGTAATTCAGATTTCAAATGTACAAATAGGTATATTGAACTAATAAAAAAATATGTTATCCAAACTCCAGTAAAAAATTCTTATAGATTAATCACAAATAAAAGCTAGTCATGCCTAGTAATTGTTTGACAAATTGAAATGTAAAGACTCAACTAAGATAACAAAATGCAGATGAATTATTGTAAAATCCATTGAGCTAGAAAGATACAAAAAGTCGTTCAAATTTTACAAACCAAATTTCTAGTGTCAATATCAAATATCATAAGTGAAGTTGAAACAAATAATGTATTAAACTGCCTTAAGAGATAACTACAGCAAGTAGATTGTAAAAGAAAAAAAAAAAAAACTAATATAATACATTCCATCAATGGTAAAAAATATATATAACACCAATTGAAAACTCTTTTAAACAAAAATAAGATATAAACATAAAATAGAGGGTTGCAATAGCAAATTATATCAAATGATTACATTTTTAAAAAAAATTATAAATAGCATATAACAATACTTTAAATGATAAAGTTTTAATAGATATCCCAAAAAAATTGAATAAGCATAATAAAAACATTATTTGAGGAAACATTTTTTATAATCTTGTAATAAACATTTCATTGAAATCTGACTTAACGTAAGTGTACTATGACATCGATAATAACCTGGCAAGAGATATTAAATGTAACATTAAAGGAAACAACTAAGATTTTTAGTGTTTAACTAAGAACCTGAAGAAAGCCTATTGTAAGAAGAAAGATTGCAACAAACATAGGCAGGTATCGATTGCTTAAAAGAGCTGAGATTCCATTGAATGCATAACAATTGAATAAGAAAAAGATAAACATAATTAAAGCTTTTAAAAAACGTTCAAAACTGCAAACACACAATAAAACTTTTATCCACAAAACATCAATTGAACATAATGAAAAAAAATAAATTGAAGCATTAGACAATGATAAGGTAGATGAGCATAATACTTACAAAAAGGTTCAAATTAAAAAGATTCCCAAAGAAGAATTTGGAGACTCTGTAACCATAATAATTTAATAACATAGAGATAAATTGTGATGAACAAACAGTTTCCAATAAAGTAATAAATGACCATAGTAAACTATGAATGCAGACACATAATGAAAACTGTTTGTTATACAACTATTAATTGATTGAATATATGAATTGGGAGCTTCGAAACAACTAAAATAGTTGGAGAGCTTGCATGTATCAATTGTCACTTGTATTCATATCAAGGCAACCATTTAAATCTCAATAACACAACAATTAAAAAGCAACACGAACATCGTTGGAAAAGTTAAAATTTGATCATGACTAACCAAAAATTATAAGAAAATAAACTAAAATAGTGAAAAAAAACCCAAAACAGAACATACCACAAAAGCATAGTGTACTAAAATTTCATCTGGACATTTCATCAAACACTAAAGTTATAAAGTGGCATACAAATCAAAATAAGAGCACTTGTATACAAACAACACCAACCAGCAACACATACATTTTCCACTAAGTTTACTTTACAAATTTAATCAAAAACCAATATTGACGAAGAACACAATATCATAAAATTAAATGCTAACAACCATTATTAGCTAGCAAGCAACATATTACATCAAAAATAAAAAATAATAAAAAAAACTACAACCCACAAGTATGCAAAAGAAACCCCTTGATGTAAATAGCAGAAAACCTAAAAACCAAACCCATCTAAACGGAAAAAACAAAAAGGAGAAGACTTTGTAAAAAATAAAAATAGATAACCCAGCAAAACCTACGAAGACAAAAAACCAAAACAAATATAAGAAAGATTAAGGAGGCACAATTTTGTCATTCAAAATAGAAGGAAGAATCTGTGGTTACAAAAATAAATCATAAAAAAATGAGAAAAAAAAGAAACGAAATGCTATTTGAAAATCCAAAGGTTTTCACCTTCTTGTTCTTCCTTATTCTTCTGCATTAGAAAAAAAAAAAAGCAAAAGTAAGAAGGTGGATGAGAAATGACGTGAAGAGGAAAAAGAAATTATGGATTAGGTGGTGGGTAGAAGTACAAAAAAATGAAAAAGAGGAAAAATGAAAAAAAAAAAAAAAAAAGGTGAGAGCTAATGGTAAATGGCAGGGAAACGTGAAGAGGAAAAAAGGGGATGGCTTAGTTATGGAGTTGCAGAACAAGAAAAAACGGGCAGAAGATACGGTGACATATTGGTGGCGTGGCTGGTCATAGAAGGGGTGGTCAAAATGAGTAAAATTAAAATTGTGGATTCAAAAATAAATTGCCTGTTTTTAAAATTTTTCAGTGTTATATACTATAATGTATTTTTTTGTTTTCCTTTTATTAAAATTTTAATAGATTTAACATTATTTTTTTAATTCAAATGTTTTTAGGTAATTTATATAAAAAAAATTAGTTTATTTATAAATAAATATATTTTTAGTTTAATAATTTATTTTATTTTTATTATAAAGTAAATAAAATATTACTATATTTTATGTATCTATTATAATATAAATAGTTATTTTATTACTTTTATATAAAATAATATTTAATTTTTAATAATATCAAATAAAATTATTTTTATATTTAAAACTATCAAAATTTAAATATTGATCATAAAAAATAAATATTTAATATTTTACCAACAAATCACGTATCAATTAATAAATAAAATGATATTTAATCTTTAAAAATTAATGATTATTAGACAAATAAAATAGTTTCAAATCACATGTAACAAAATCATTATAATAATAAAATCACCTCAGTAATTTAGTTACTCTGGTGGACTTGATAATAATATCCCAATACCTTATTGTAGTTAGTTTTATTTTTTTACTGTTTTTATCGAAGGAACACTTGTGTTCTTATGTTTCCCTAGACGATGGCCATCAAACATCCAAATCTTGCAATTGCACTTCGTAATTATGGGATTGAAAATAGCAAAAGAAAAATATATATATTTGGGATGCTAATTTTGAATATATGCATAGCATTAAGAAAACAATAAGTACCCAGGCCAATTAATCTCCTTAGTTGCCATTATTCTTATACAATTCCCTTACAAAATCTGGTTCCTGAACATGGACCAATCCTTAAAATGCAGATGCCATGAACGAAGAGGTGTACAATAATATTTTCAAGGTGTGAGGAAATTAAGTAAAGACACTCTATTTCTGATTAAGCATCTAAACAGGCAATCTAAACCTGCTTCGAGACCTTTTCGATAATAGTAGAAAGTGTATCTAATCTCCTTACTCCAATTTTTGTATCAATTTTAGCAACATTTTTCGGACTTGTCCATGGAGTGTATGCAGGGTGAAGTCGACAGTTCCCACCTCATTGAAAAACTTCTGGCTTCTCTCGGCTGCAACTGGTATCAATTTTGAAATCAAAGACCAACCTCCAGCTTTTGTTTTCATTACTGGCATGGAAAGAAATGACAGGAATGACTGAAACATAGAAATTGTGATGTCATTGGATTCCCTCAGTGCTGTTACCACCATCAATAGATGGCAATCTACATCAAATAGAGGAAAGGGGCCATTATTATTCCATTCCAATCTCTTTAGTACTCTAAGGGCTTTAGCAATGTTCTTTTTCAACTTCTTTCTAAAGCTGATATAAGCAAGGATATTGCTTCCAATGCTTGAATTTCCGCCTCTCCTTCGTAAAACTGACTGAAGATCTTGTACTTGCTCCTTCATCATCATAAGTAGGTCTCTTGCGGTGCTACATGCATCCAGCAATTCAACCGAATCGTTAATTGCCTCCTCTACTAGTTTAAAATTTTGCAGACGATGAAGAGCTTGTCGAGGGAGTGGAGATTGAATGATTTCCTCAATTTTGTTGTACAGCTTTGCAACCCTAGTGAAACCTGTACAAATTGTCTCACCACCAGCGTAAATTGTTTTTGAAGCTGACAAGAGTCCAATGGTTTTCAGCTCGTTCAGCTCTGTTTCAATAGAATTAAGCTTCAACCTGGATGGCAAGCTGATGGATCTAACTGGAACATTCACACCATGAATTATAGATGAACCTGCCATATTTTACACGGAAAAAGTGCTCAAAACACTCATATATGTTGATCAGACATCCATAATTCTTCTATCTATTTATAAGAAAGAATTTTTCATGCTGAAGTCCAATCATTGGCCATGTGATGACAATGGGAGTTGGCCTACAATTGAAAGATCCTTGTAGCATATTTAGCCTGCAACCTGCAATCATTTCTCATTCTTTAATATTATGTTCAAGAGATGGACAACGTACAGAATTGAATAATTTTTGCCCATGATCCTCAAATTGTAAACAACTCGTACAGGCCGTGTAAGCCGTATGCTGCCTTGCCTCCCCAATCATTGGTGCGATACCTTCACAATTAGTGTTTGTTAATGTCCTTAAAGATTAGTTTATGAACTTTCAAGGCTGGCAATTTATAATTGCCTAATAGTTTAGAACCAAAGATATGATGTTAATTGACCCAGGATTGCAGAAAAATATTAGAATAGGAAACACGACAAATCGGGCCATTATTTTGCACAAAGCTAGACCTCAAGGCAAAGAATCTGGGGCGGACATCCCAAGGACACTGAATTCTTTAGCCACTTGTAGGCCAGTACCGTCAGAGAGAGATATTTGTTTATTGAAGAAGACATTGCCTAGAAGACCATGTAAAATTAAACCTAGAAACAATGGAGCAAGAAGCTTTTGGTTGAGGGAGGGCCAAAGGGGCGGCAGCTTGTAGAGTCACTAGAGTCAAATACTGTAATGCAGAAAATCCAATGCATCACATGCTCCTTTTTATTGCCGAGGAAGCTCTGATTCTCCTTGTCTCCCAAGATTTTACGTATTCTAAAGTAACAAATTCCTGCAAAACCATTTTCTCCTTGTCAACATAGCCTAATCTGTCGTTAGAGTGTTGAATTTTTAAATTAAGTAATTAAGATTCAAATTTTGACAACATCAAATATAAAAACAAAACCATTTTCGCCTTGTTCAATAATTTAGTTAAACAAAAGTTTTGGTGTATCTGCATCAAATTCTTCCGTCTTCCCTACATGCATTCAGTAGCAGAGTACATCAATCTACCATGAATTTTGTTGTCGAAATTTTGGTGTAGATGGACACCATTTTAACGTATGGCCAACGTACAAGATCGCCATCTGCAAATGAAGATTAAAGGGTGCCCAAATTCTTTAGGTACTAAATCCACCATGTCCGCAGTTGTCGTACCATAATTTTACAGGTCATTTTTGTTTTAAATTTAATTCCGTGACTATGTTTTCATGATCGAGATTACAAATATTTAAATAAATGTGACTGGTGGTACGTACAGGCCGCTCAAAAGATAAACTATAAGCTTCGACATAATAATTGCTTGTTAATGCATGATTGTGGTTCATATGATCGATAATAAGATAAAAGCATACACGTTCAACCTCCCAATGAAGGAACACAGCATTTAATAACATGGAAAACGAATTACATATTTCCGTGTCCATGCACCGAGAACCAGAAAAACAAAAACAAAAATAATGACCATGAAATTAGAGGAACTTAGATGCTACTATATTCTCAGCTGAAAATTCAGTTACATTGCCAACTTAGGATTAATTGAGTTAATAAGGTTCAAATAACTATTCTAAGTTTAAATCTCGATGCCAGCAACCTTTTTGGTGGTCTACCCAGTTCCTCCTAAACTATTTTCTACCTAAAAAAAAAGGAAATTTCAGTTACACCATTGGGATAAGGAACAGCCTACTGCGTTAATAATGAAGGGTAATGCTCATTTTCGATGTAAAATGAGTAAATTACTTTGAAATTGCCCTCTTAGTCAGCAGTTTTATTCCCCTTATACTTATTTATTTTTAAAATTTTATTCTCTATCACACTTCATTGTTGCCTTCCGTATGAACCTCTAGATTTAATCTAATGGATGAGCGCAAGCATAATGCGGTACCCACATTGCACTTGGTAGCATCTTTCAGACTGGCTGATACAAACTCTTGTAGTATGTCACATTTAATCCAAAAAAATGTTAGCACACGTAGCCAAAAACAGGAATTACTCTGACAAGATGGAAGGTGAACATGAGCAAAAAAGGACTACTTTGTCAGAATTGAACCTTATTAATCTCTTAGGTTTAGGCAAAAAGACAACAAGGTTACGCTGATAGAAATAGCAGAAGTGGAGAACTAACAGGTGAAACAACAACATACAAGCTAGAATTTAGACAGGACGAGAGACTTCTTATGTACCAATTATCAAAGATTACATTCAACCCATCTCAACAGGCACTACCATTAAGTAGTAACCATAGGGTATCTCAGGTAAGCATGATGTTAAAGGGTATCAACTATCAATATGTAATAATTGACAATAAGACAGAATCAGAGGCTGACATTGTGAAAGTAAATTTGTTAGAATTTTTAACCTCAAAATTATTATTAAAGTTCAATTGCATAATTACTGTTTTCTCATATATTTTATTAGCAGCCAAGACTGTAAAAACTAGAACAATTAAGTACAAAACATCAACTGAGACAAGAAGCAATTAGCACAATTAAGGCAATTCGTATACACATTTGAAAGTATACGCGAGTTCATTATGGCAACTTCATGTGCACATACAAACAATAATACACTTGCAGTAACAGAAATTATGTTATGTCACAAGCCATTTTTGCCATATAAATATAAGCTCATTTTATCCATAAAATAGATGTCAAAATTGAAATAAGCAACAAGAACTACAAATTAGAGAGACTGATATACAAACAAAGAACATACTAGTTAGAGTGCGAGCCCTTGTTCCCTAGCTTTTTTCAGCCACTTAAGGGTAACCTCCAATGTCGAGTAAGCAGCAACATCAGTCAGACTCTTACTATCAACAGCATAATCAAACACTTCATATGCCTCTGCAACCCTGCCCTCCCTACAAAGTGCTCTTACAAGAGTAGCATAAGAAGCAGTCTCAAGCTTCACACCAGCGGACTTCATTGCCCCATATAACTCCATTGCTTTCTCCATCAATCTACACTTGCACAACCCATGAAGCAGCGTATTATAAGTGCATGAATTCGGGCTACATCCCTTTCTTTCCATCTCACCCAACAAAACCACTGCACCCAATGCATTCCCTTCTCTACACATTCCATTCATTAAAGATGTATATGTGACAGCATCTGGAAAATGGCCCGATTCAACCATAATATCTAAATACTTTCTAGCTTCTTTAACTCTCCCAGATTTTGACAACCCAAAAATCAAAGTATTATAAGTCACAAGATCAGGCTCAACACATTCCTCTTTCATTTTCTTATAAACCTCAATTGCCTCACTTCCTTTACTCAACATACAATAGCCTTTCATAATGGTATTATAAACAAAACAATCCGGCTTAAACCCTGACTCATGAAGCACACCAACCAATCTCATTGCCTCACGTAAGTTCTTTGAATTACAAACATTATCGATCAATATAGTATATGTAACAAGATCAGGCTTTATACCAAAAGAAGTCTTCATATCATCAATAAAACCGTAAACCGTACTCAAAGTTCTACACTTGCATAAATTCTTAACAAGAAAGTTGAACGTAAAACTATCAGGCGGAGAGTGCTTTAAAGAAAGTTCTTTTACCAATTCTACAGCATGATCAATGCGTCCTGCTTCGCAAAGCGATCGGATAGCAATATCAGTGGTGACCTGATTGGGTTTGAGCCCATTAGTGACCATCAGATTGAGGGTTTGGTGAACAGGGGAGAGGGAGGAATCAGGTGCTTTGCAAGATTGAGAGAGCAAGATATGGTAAGTTGATCGGTCAGGGGAAAACGAAGGGTGGGTTGTGATCATGTGGTAAAGAAGAGAGATGGAGTCATTGAGGATGGAGATTGAGGCATAGGATTGTAAAAGAGTGTTGTGGAAGCGAAGATCAAGTGGCGACTTCGATGAGGCAACGATGGAGTTGAAAACTTTCTTGGCCGATAAGAGGTCAGGGGATTTAAATAGGGATTCGGTTTTGCGGGATACCGGGGAAGCTTGGGCTTTCTTAGAATGTTGGGGTGGTTTTTTCTTGGTGATTTTGTTGGGAAGCTGATGGGGAATCGCGATTGGGGGTTCTAAAGGCAGCTTTCTAATGAGAGAATTTGAGATTGCTGGACGAAATGAAGGTGGAATTTTTCCCATTTTTCTTCTTCTTCTTCTTGTTTCCTTTGAATGGGATTCGGGAGTTAGGGTTTTGCAGGGTTTTAAGACCAAGGAGAAAGTGAATGTGGGTAGGGTTGGGTAGAATTGGTCCAGCTTTAAATTTCACCAAATCCAATTTCATTTCAGGGCCCAATTGCCTTAAACAAGCTTTTTGATATCAGTCGAGAAGGATTTTATTTCAGGATCCAATTGTTTAAACAAAGCTTTTTCAGATCAGCCCAACAAAGGAGTGCAAATTTTTTTTTTTTTTTCAGTTGTCATATTAAAATTTTCATTTTACTGCTGCAAATCAAAATTCCCATGCTATTTCTTCAAAGCAGAGGGTCTTTTCTAAATTCATCGATCTTCCATTGTGCAAGTCTAGAACAATGGACAATGAAAAAGGAAATTCATAAGCATTTTGCATTTACATTTTTTGTGGTTGTTTAATTACATCAGGCATTTGAATCCTAAACTCGTATGGATTATAACAGAATTAATTATATCTTTAACATCTAAATTAATTTTTAAAAAATGTATAAATCAGTATTTAAATAAATAAATAAAATACATAATTTGTAATTTTAAATTTCAAATTATGTATAATGTTAATCCAAATTTTAATTCCATGAACCATATCAACTTATATATATATATATATATGATGTTTGACAAAAATTATCAAATTATATGTTTAGCATACATACTATCAATATCTTGTTTTAATATTAATTATAAAATATATTTTTACCTAGACCATAAAAATTATCTAAAATCAATCAATTATTATTTATCACATGACATCCATAATATGTTTTTACAAAATATTTAACATTTTTATGTAACAAGTAACACATATAATAAAATTATACTAATTAGATACGATAAAGGCAAATTAAGTTAATAGTATTATAATTTGGATTAAAAATTATACATTCTTAGAAAATCTAAGATACAAAATATATATTTTATTTCTCTAAATATCAATTTGTATGTTTTCTCAAAGTTTAAATAAAAACATAGTTAACTCTAAATAATATTTAATTTGCTTCTGTCTTTTATAATGCATATATGATATATGTACTGTAATATATGTGTGATTGTTATATAAAATTGATGGTTCAAATTTAAACTATCAAGAAGAAAAACCTTTTTTGGCATCTCATCACATTATATGTAATGTGAATAAAATTAGATTGAGAAACTGAAAATTCTTTTAAACTTTTTATATGCCATAACCACTGAAAACGTCTTGCAAATAAAAAAGCAACTAGGCAATCATGATTGATGTTTTAATATTTGATGTTTTTGTGCTTCTTCTGTTGATAGTAACTTTTTTTTTCTCTAATTTACTCAAATGAAATATATTTTTACTGGAAATATCCGACCCTTCATTGCTCAAAATAATTGAAACAATTGTGGGACATATCCATTCAATGAATTTTGTAAAGAATGACGACTTGTGGAGTGGTACACCTCATCAGCTTTTATGTTTTTCCTTTTCATGTTTTTTTTCTTTCACTTTTATCGTAATATCTAGATCCGGGGATCTATCGCTAGACATTGACTTTTAGGGAGTCGCCACCAATCTTTTTTTATCTAGGTGCGATTGGCCACCTAAAGAATCTGTCCTTTCAGGGAACACCTAAGCTTAAGGGTCCCTAAAAGAATAGGTTCAGGTCTACTAACCAGAACAGGGTTCGGGAGTTCGGTTACGTGTGAGAAGGTTATAGCACCCTCACAACGCCCATCAAAAGATGGTACCAGCTTAAATTCGTGTTATCCAAAAGCCTTAAAATTTTACCAAGTAATTAGTTATTGGAAATTATTCTCAATTGACTCTAATACTTTTAGCAGAAAATTGAGAAAATTCCCTCACCTCAGGAGTATGCAAGAAAACTACTGTTTCACTTACAGAGGCTCCGTCGTCGGATTATTTAAAGAAAAAAAAATCAAAATTAAGATAGAAAGGAAGGAAAGAATGATTTTTTTTTGTAGGGAAAATTGATACTTTCAACTTTTCCCCAAAAATATTTTTTTGGAAATTTCGATTTTCAAGGAAAATTGATACTTTCAACTTTTCCTCAAAAACCCTTTTTTTGAAAATTTATTTCTAAGGAAAATTGATACTTTCAACTTTTCCCTAAAAATATTTTTTTGAAATTTATTTCTGAGGAAAATTGATACTTTCAACTTTTCCCCAAAAGTATTTTTTGGAAATTTATTTCTAAGGAAAATTGATACTTTCAACTTTTCCCTAAAAATATATATTTTTTTTGGAACTTTTGATTTTTTTTATTTAAAGAAAAATAGAAAAATAAAAAAAATAAAAAAAGAAAAGTAAAACAAAACTAAAAATAAAATAAAGATAAAAAGAATATTAAATAAACCTAATCTAATAAATAAAAATAATAAATAAACAAATAAAACAAATAAAGATCTCAAAAAAAAAAAAAAAAAAAAACCTAGAGCAGCTCGGCTATCGGCGCGGCTCGGCTCGGCTCGGCTCAAGGAAGAAAAACGGCTCGGAGGAGCGGCTTGGCGGCTTGGATCGGCTCGGCTCGGCTCGGAGGGGGGCTGGCACGCGCGAGTCAGAAAGCGGGTCGACGCCCGGGTCGGGTCGGGTTCGACAAAACGCGCGGATCCTCTGGGTTACTTAAGGCCAAAACGACATCGTTTTGGGAGGGTATAAAAGGCACCTTCCTCCGTTTTTCGGCAGAACGCTCCTCCCCCTCTCTCTCTCTTCTTCCTTTTTCTCTCCCTTCTCTCTAGAAACTGAAGAACACCGGTGCCGGATTCTGGAAATTTTCGCCGGAATTTCGTCGGAAGTTCGCCGGTTTCTGGGATTAGTCGTCGGTTTCTGGGATTCTTCTCCGAAAACTGGGCAGGTCGCCGGAAACTTCAAGGTTGGCCGGAGATTTGGCCGAAAAATTCAAGTTTCGCCGGAATTTTCGTCGGAATCTGGAAATTTCCCAGAAATTTCCAGAAAAATTTTTCGCCAAAATTTCTAGAAAAAATTCTCCTCACTCTCAGAACACTCCTAAACCTTTCCTAGCTTCCTATACGCCTTTTTCTCTCAAATCAGTAGCTTTGCTCACTGTTTTCTCTGTGTTCAGCATTGTTCCAAAGGGTCCCTTTTATAGGGATTGATCAGGAGTTCCTGATCAATCCCAATTCCTCCTTGGACGGGAATTCAGTCTTTGAATCCAACTGGACTCTTCTGATTGAATTCCCCTCCAGAGTAAGATTCTTCAACTTTGAATCTTAGCCATCCAGAATTAAAATCAAAAATAAATAAAAAAATACTAGATAATTAAAAGATATGATAGTATAAAAATAAAAAAATAATATCAGATAATTCAGAAAAAATCAGATAAAATTAACAGATAATAATAAAAAAAAAAACATAAGATAAACCCAAAAATATATTACAAAAAAAAAAAAGATAATAATAATAATAAATATATAACTATATACATACAATACATATAAATCTAATCTAAATAAAAATAAATACACAAAGATATACATAATAATAATGAAATACATAAAATACAAAAGAAGAAAAAGAAAGAAAAAAAAAATACAGGATTGAAATGGGCCTTACCCCTTTGGGCCAGGCCCAATTGATCTGGGTCCGGACCCAATTGGGTGTCTACAGCTGCCCCTCTTTGCACATTTTCTGTGAAACAGAAATTGCGCAAAGACGTAGACACCCAATCAAGACTCAACTCAACATTTTTATTTTTTGATTTTTTTTTTAAAAAAATTTTTGTTTTTTGTTTTTTGTTTTTTGTTTTTTTGTTTTTTGTTTTTTTGTTTTTTTTTTTTTTTTTTTTTTTTTTTTTTTTTTTTTTTTTTGCCGAAGTTCCTCTAAACAGAGGCACCACGACTTTGGAAAAATAAATTGCTCCTCTCAACAGAGGCACCACGACTTTGAAAAGTAAATTGCTCCTCTCAACAGAGGTACCACGACTTTGAAAAGTAAACTGCTCCTCTAAACAGAGGCACCACGACTTTGGAAAAATAAATTGCTCCTCTAAACAGAGGCAACGGAACTTTGAAAAATAAATTGCTCCTCTAAACAGAGGCAACGAAACTTTGAAAAATAAATTGCTCCTCTAAACAGAGGCAACGGAACTTTGAAAAAATAAATTGCTCCTCTAAACAGAGGCACCACGACTTTGGAAAAATAAATTGCTCCTCTAAACAGAGGCACCACGACTTTGGAAAAATAAATTGCTCCTTTGGAAAAATAAATTGCTCCTTTGGAAAAATAAATTGCTCCTCTCAACAGAGGTACCACGACTTTGAAAAAATAAATTGCTCCTCTAAACAGAGGCACCACGACTTTTGGAAAAATAAATTGCTCCTCTAAACAGAGGCAACGGAACTTTGAAAAATAAATTGCTCCTCTAAACAGAGGCAACGGAACTTTGAAAAGTAAATTGCTCCTCTAAACAGAGGCAACGAACTTTGAAAAGTAAATTGCTCCTCTAAACAGAGGCAACGAACTTTGAAAAGTAAATACTCCTAGACGATCATGTCCGAAGGAGTTGAAAGTTGTGTTTGAAGGGATTTCAGGAGATTATGCCCAAAGGTCTTATAAATCAACCCCGATACCAAGAGACATCCTATTTCAAGGATTAGGAACTTACCTGACAAGTTTCTTCTCAAACTTGCAAAGTCTTTTCATACCTGTCTTTTCCATGTGGGATGTTGGAACACCCCTGCTTCTTGAATTTATACACTATACTTTCCTGAAAGTAGTGTATGCTATGCAAATGCATATGAACTTCAATGCATGCTATGCAAATGTTGGCCAATTAATTCCTGTTCAATGTATGGTACTCAAGTTTCTCAAGCTCCTTTTTTTTCTTGGGTGTCAAGCCCTTTGATTCCTCAAGGATCCAATTGCACTGTTCTTCTAAGATCGAACCAGTGTGACTCTTAATTATCTCTTCCGCTCAGATTCTTCCTTGTTCTGTTTTTCAATACTTTGGAATAAGCTTCATCAATCGATCATCCCTTGACCATCATTCAATGAATTTCTCAGCGCTAGCAAATTTCATAACAAATTTCAAAACAAATTTCATCCACCATCATTGGGTCCTTGCTCATGGGTGTCTCAGCATTAACCATTCCAAAACAAACTCTGTCCACTGATTGTTCCCACCATTCAACCAATTCATCCTTGTACTCATCACTTGGTTGTATCACTGCCCCATTTCTTCATTTGATCACATCATATATCC